TTACCAATGTACGTAGCCTTTTTCGCTTGTGAACCAAGCCTGTTTCCGTGTCTAGTTTATTGACAGTTTGACATACCTCGTCTAATTCTCATCACCGATTGTGCTTGTGCTTGTGCAGGGAGAGGTGTGGCAAGGTCATGGACAGAACAAAGAGAGTCTTGCAGAGTTGCTGTTTGGATTTTTCAAGTATGTTAGCGCCGCTCTTCACTGTTGCAAATCATGTAGTGTTCACGTGTGTATGTTGCGGAGGGTCCGGTCGTGTACAGTCCGGGCCGTCAGATCGGGTCAGGCTTCCGGGTCGCATTTTCGGGTCATGACCTGACCATTTCGACCATGGCTTCTAATTTTAGCATGATCTGGCTGGCCGATGCACTGCCACCAAGGGCACTTTTAAACTGATGTGACCACATAGAGAGGTACAATGTAGAGGCCAGTGTGGAACTACGAATGCCTTTCACACTGCACAGAGTACACGTTAAGGAGCTGATAGACGCACTGCGGGAAATGTGTGGACGTTTGTAACTTTGCAACGTGTCCGTTGGCTTTGACTTCGAATCTACTAAGGAACATAGTGCTTTGGTGGTTGGGATTTCATGGCTTGCAGTGGTGAACAAGAATTGATTTATGCTTCGGTGCTCGACGGCTGCATCGGCTAGATATACGTTCCTGTCAGCGGATCGTAGCCGCAGGGAGATGGCGGCCAGTGTGTTTGTACTGTCATGTTGCCTGATCACTTCATGTGCACCTATCGGCATGCCAATTGAGCAACAGGCTAGTGTCGGCAAAGATGGCAGACCGAACCCAAAGGACACAACGGTGCGGCAGAAATATATAATCAAAAGCAGCGCCGAAGGAGCTGCCGCGCTCGTAGATTAGCATGTGCTCTCACAAGAATCATACACAAAGGTCCTTCCTGTGCAGTTTCTCACACCGGCCAACATGCTTGGAAACCTTAGAATGGATGTCTGGGAGCACAGGAGCAAAGACTGATTGCGTTCAGGGAGTCGTAAAATACCGGTATTTTACGACTCCCTGTTGCGTTGCTATTATGCTGTGTTGTCAGCTGATCACTAACTGACTAAGATCTCGTTTCCTGTGCTTTGGGCTGCTTGTTGGGAGCACAGGTTTTACGCCGAATTTGACTTTGCTAATGTCGTGATCACGCCACGTCTTGATGAGACAGTTCTGCTGAAGGACAGCCCGTTCGCCGTGACTTCATCACTGATGAACATTGAAGGTAAGTTCAGCCACTGCTTGCGTTCGCCACGATGCAGTGCAACGCGTTTGTTGTTTTCCTGCAGCCCTTGCAAAACATGACGTGCTCTTTGTTGGTTTTGTTGGGTTGTCTGCATGGTGGTGGAGGGGAGGGTAACTGCGAATGCTTGCTGAACGTGTGTTGCCTGTATTGTAGTGACTGGCCCGTGGTGGTGCTAGATAAGCCTGCTTCCAAACTGCTTTGCTGTCGATGTAGTGCAGTGTCATGCAGTGTCATGTAGTGCAGTGTCATGCAGTGCAGTGTCATGTAGTGCAGTGTCATGCAGTGCAGTGTCATGTAATGCAGTGTCATGTAGTGCAGTGTCATGCAGTGCAGTGTCATGCAGTGCAGTGTCATGTAATGCAGTGTCATGTAGTGCAGTGTCATGTAGTGCAGTGTCATGCAGTGTCATGTAATGCAGTGTCATGTAGTGCAGTGTCATGTAGTGCAGTGTCATGCAGTGCAGTGTCATGTAGTGCAGTGTCATGTAGTGCAGTGTCATGCAGTGCAGTGTCATGTAGTGCAGTGTCATGCAGTGCAGTGTCATGCAGTGTCATGTAATGCAGTGTCATGTAGTGCAGTGTCATGTAGTGCAGTGTCATGCAGTGCAGTGTCATGTAGTGCAGTGTCATGCAGTGCAGTGTCATGTAGTGCAGTGTCATGTAGTGCAGTGTCATGTAGTGCAGTGTCATGCAGTGTCATGTAATGCAGTGTCATGTAGTGCAGTGTCATGTAGTGCAGTGTCATGCAGTGCAGTGTCATGTAGTGCAGTGTCATGCAGTGCAGTGTCATGTAGTGCAGTGTCATGTAGTGCAGTGTCATGCAGTGCAGTGTCATGCAGTGTCATGTAATGCAGTGTCATGTAGTGCAGTGTCATGTAGTGCAGTGTCATGCAGTGCAGTGTCATGTAGTGCAGTGTCATGCAGTGCAGTGTCATGTAGTGCAGTGTCATGCAGTGCAGTGTCATGTAGTGCAGTGTCATGTAGTGCAGTGTCATGCAGTGCAGTGTCATGTAGTGCAGTGTCATGTAATGCAGTGTCATGCATGTAGTGAAGTGTCATGTAGTGCAGTGTCATGTAGTGCAGTACTGTACAGTGTAGTGTAGATGAGTAATATGACTATATGTGTGTGTGTATATGTATAGGATATATCTTGAGCTGGTGTGTGTGTATGTACATGTATAAGGATTCACTGGCCAGAAAAAGCCACTTCATAGCTGTGTGGTGTAGACCAGGCTGAATAATTTACCGCTGAATAGTGGCGGTCAATTATTCAGCCTTTCAAGCTATTGAATAGTGCAATCCCAGCACAAGTTGCTATGGCTTCTGCTATAGCATCGCTATCATCACCTTTGGCGATGGGCGTCGAATGGTATGTATATGTGTATGTATATGTGTGTATGTATATGTGTGTTATATATGTGTATGTATATGAGAAAACTCCGTTACGTACGATTCAATTGACCCACGCTGTTGGATAGAGAACATATCCAAGCGCACTCTTTCCCCATCATAGTGCGGGCCATACACTCGCGCTAGGGCGCTTTTCAAAGAATGCCAATCCGAAAATTGCTCACCTGCTTCCAGGGAAGAAATTAGCCAAAGACGCGCATTCCCAGCGAGGTAGCTAGCCGCAAAGTTAACTTGGCTCTCCGGGTCACCTTGAGGTGAGCACTTCAAGGCTAACTCGACCGTAAATACCCATTCTTTGAACTCGGAAGGGTTGCCATGGAAAACATTCGGTTCTCTGGTAACGCGTTTGACGCTCGAGCTTGTCTGGGAGAGAGAACGCGATCGACACGGGGCTAGATCCGGAGGACTTGAGCTTGATGTAGCAGGTAATTGATGTCGTCCAACTGTAGCAGCCACGTTGTCCCGAGCGCGGCGGATCTCACGGAAAGCGGCGTATAGCAGAGCAGTAGCGGCCAGGAGCACAAGGCACGTCAAAGGGCAAACGATGATCTCAACCATCCTCAAGCTACCAGTGTAACAGTATAGACTTGATTGATTGGAGAATTCCTCGAATGATGTTCAAACCAGAGGTTATAAAGCAAAAGAAAGGTGAGAACCGCAGGAGTGAGAATAGTAGGAACACAAGGTGTTACCATAAGACAAGCAAGAAGTGTCAAGGTAAAACTATTACACAAAACTATTACGCAAAACTATATCAGTCTATAACATAATTATTAACAGTATAGACTTGATTGATTGGAGAATTCCTCGAATGATGTTCAAACCAGAGGTTATAAAGCAAAAGAAAGGTGAGAACCGCAGGAGTGAGAATAGTAGGAACACAAGGTGTTACCATAAGACAAGCAAGAAGTGTCAAGGTAAAACTATTACACTCTCCCGGCCCCATAGGAAGCCCAAGGTTCTATATGTGATAACACAATCCAGTTAGGAGATGCAATTGTGGAAAGGGGAATATTAAATAATCACTCATGCACATGCATAACCACATTGAAGTGTAATCCAACTCAACTTCATCACTCTCACAAGGAGATGACGCAAAACTATATCAGTCTATAACATAATTATTAACTATCTCAGTAAGAGATGCATATGGCTCAGCCCAGTTAGATCAAGGCTGCTGTCGTTGTGAGGCTAGATAGTTCTGCAGCGGTTTAATATTCCGACCAGACTCATCACATAGGTTGCCAGCGGGCTCCCACGTAGCTTCGCTGCTGGGGTAACCCTTCCAATGCACCAGGAAGTGTTGCTCACCACTGCGGTGTCGGTGATTCAAAACGGCTTCGACAACATAGCGTGTGTGTCCATCTAGATCTGTGAAGGGCGGAGGCGGGGGTTTGTGTCTTCCAGGAATCGTGTTCTCTTCGTAGCGTTTAAGAGCAGTGACATTAAACACGGGATGGCAGCGAAGTTCACGGGGTAGTTCCAAGCGAAAAGCATTCGCTCCAATCTTAGCCTGGATACGATACGGACCAAACCACTTGGGTTGCAACTTCCGAGAGGGCTGGCCACGAGCTTCCGGGGTCAGTAGAAAGTCTCTGTAGACAAGAACGCTATCACCAACCTTCAAATCACTGGGCGTTCTCGTCTGGTCTGCGTATAGAGCTTGCCTTGCCTGGGCGTCGAGCATAGCATCTCGAGCTATCCTTAGTGCGGCTTCCTGCTCATGAAGCCAATCGACCGAATCACTCCTTTCCCCTCCCGTAAGAATGAATTCGGGCGGGGACTTAGGGTCAAACCCATAGTTCAGATAGAACGGTGTATTAGCTACAGATGACTGTTGTGAACTATTTATTGCAAACTCGCAGAGTGGTAGAAGCGAATCCCAATTGTCCTGTCTCAAGTTCACAAATGCTCTTAGAACATCTCCCACTTGCCGGTTAACTCTCTCTGTCAAACCATCCGTTTGAGGGTGGTTAGCAGTGCTGAATGCCAATTTAGTTCCTAGCTGAGAGAATACTTCTTTGAAAAAAGCTGCAGTGAATCGTGGATCGCGATCGGAAACAATGGTTGAGCTCAGCCCGTGCAGACGAAACACGTTTTGAATGTACAGTTGAGCGCTGCCCTTAGCATCAATCTTCGAGTTTGTTGGAACAAGATGTACGCATTTCGTAAGTCGGTCCACAAAGGTGTAAATTGCGTCGAAGCCACGAGAAGTAAGGGGCAATCCAACAATAAAATCCATTGAGATATCCTGCCAAGGACTATTAGGTATTGGAAGTGACTGGAGAAGCCCTGTTCGTGGCTGACCTCCCTTCGTTCGCTGGCAGAGATCACAGGTTTTGACAAGTCTCTTGATATCGAGACCCATTCGGGGCCAGTAGAAAAAACGTGCTAGGCGGAAGTACGTTCGATCACGACCCGGGTGGCCAGCCGTTGCACACTCATGGTGTTCTTGAATGAGCTTTAACCGGACACCGCACTGTGGTATGCACAACCGGTTATTGGGGGATGCCTTGAGGTACAAGCGATCAGTGGATTCGTCCCAATAATAGCGATCATGCAAATTATCTCGGAGAGAATGCTTCAATCTTTCTATGATGGGAGTTAGCTCTTTGTCTCTCTGGTAGGCATCTGATATTGTATTGGACACGTCATCATTCATTGCTAAAGCATACTCAATAGCATTCAAACGTGGTACTGCATTCTCCACGAGGTTACTCTCATGGAGATCTGGGCGACGCGAAAGGGGATCTGCAGGGTTCTCTCTGCCGGGTCTGTGACGGACTGTGTAGTTATAGTCAGCTAGGAATTCAACCCATCGCGCCTCTCTCTTTGTAATGCTTGGTTTTGTTTTCAGATAAACTACCGCCATGTTGTCTGTAATGACCTCAAAGTGTTGAAAGAGGTAGATGCGCCAGGTCTTTAGCGCAAACACTACGGCCAATGTTTCTCTTTCTGTAGCTGTATAATTCTGTTCCGCAGCAGACAATTTTCGGCTAGCATAAGCCACTGGATGCCAGGCATCTTCCTCTAGTTCTTGGAGAAGAACACATCCCAAGGCGAAATCGCTTGCATCTGTTACCACTCTGAATGGTCGGTTCACATCAGCCAGCCGCAATAGGGGCGCATTCAACAAGGCATGCTTTAGCGATTCAAAGGCATGTTGCCGAGAGCTGTTCCACTCGAATCGTGCATGTTTTCCCGTTATCTCCTCTAAGTTCTTAGAGAGCGATGAGTATTGATCTATGAATCGCCTAAAATAATTCGTAAATCCAAGAAATTGCCTCACCTCTGTGACGGAAGTCGGAGCGGGCCAGACCTTTACTGCGGCAATCTTGTCTGGGTCAGGGGCGATGTGCAGTCCATCGATGCAATGTCCCAGGAACCGCACACTCTCCACGCCAAATTCACATTTTGACCGTTTGCAAAATAACTGGTTGTCCCGGAGCACGCTCAATACCGACCGGACATGCTGCATATGCTCCGACCACGTTTTGCTGAAGATGAGTATGTCATCTAGGAACACGACTACGAACTCCCTCAGATATGGTTGAAGAATCGTATTCATCATGGATTGAAATGTTGCCGGTGCATTGGTGAGACCAAATCCCATGACCCTAAATTGGTAATGCCCAAAGGGAGTGTTAATCGCGGTTTTGGGCACGTCCTCAGCTTGAATGCGAATCTGATTATACCCTGATCGGAGGTCTAGTTTCGTGAAGTACCTAGCGCCCTGTACGGTATCGAATAAATCATCCACATTGGGCAAGCACGCCTTGTTCTTAACAGTTATCTTGTTTAGCTCCCTCCAATCGCAGACCATGCGTAACGAACCATCAGCTTTCTTGACAAAAAACACCGGTGCACCAAAGGGGGACTTACTTGGTTCTACGAAACCCTTTTTCAAGAGTTCTGTGAGCTGTTTCTTCAATTCCTCCATTTCTGGCCTGGGCAGGCGATAGGCAGGTCGCGATGGGGGTGATGAGCCTTCCTCCAGGCGGATTTCGTGGTCTACAGACCTCTCTGGTGGGAGTCTAGCTGGCAGATCATCCGGGAAAAGATCGTCATAGTCACGGAACATGGCCTTGAGATCTGGGTGCTCGTTCTGAGTGGATTTGTCGGGAGGTTCCTTGCCAATGCCGTCTTCTACGCTGACCCACGCCAGAACACCTTCGTCCCCACTCCTAAGGGCATGCCTAGCCTGACGACCAGATATGAACATCGCCTCCACAGGAGCGGTCGGTTCGCTTTGACTGGGCGACGCACAAGGCAAACCATTCGAGTTCAACCTGACTTCATTCGTCCGGAAGTTTATGTCTGGATTGTTACGCGTTAACCAAGGTTTCCCCAATATAGCGTCATAGCGATGAAGGGGGAACACCGTGAAGGTTTGGTTATCGCTGAAGTCGCCTACGATAACCTTCAATTCATGGGTCGTCTCCATGGGAAACGAGCTTGATGCTCCATCAGCCAGCGTGACATTCAGGTTTTCCGAGCCAATTTCGGTTGGCAGGTTAACTCTCCTGGCAAACTGTTCGGCAATGAAATCATGGGTCGAGCCCGAATCTATTAACATAAGCGCGCGACGACCGTTGATTTTGCCTTCTACACGCAGGAGCTCATGTTCCGTTTCCACATTGACGCTGGTAACCTGGGCCTCAATAGTTGGTGTAACATCTCGCTTGAAATTGGCTTCGGAGCATTCAGCATCATCGTCAACATCCTCCACAGCGAGGCTACTGAATCGGTTACGGGTAGAGACGGAGCACACACTACACGCAGGTGATGCCTTTTCTTGCTGCGTCAGTAATCGCATCGGCCTTACTGACGTCCACCGTTTGGGTGATCTCGATGCTGCGGGCAATTCTGGGCCATATGGCCTGGTCGACGACATGCGAAGCAGCCCCCCTGGGCTCGTAATGTCTCACGTTCCTCGGGGCTTAGTTTTGTTAGCTTTTTGCTACCTGATGGTGGTGCGAATCCCGGCGCGGTCGCCAGTGGTGGTCTGCGCTGAAATCGGCTGTCTGAGGCGACTGCTAGCGCTGACTGAACGGCGGCTGACAGTGTAGTGGGGTGTTCCTTCACTACCAAGGTCCGCATGTTACCGTGCAGGCCGTTGACAAATAGCAAGGCTCTGGAGAGTTCGTCAAGTTCCGGCACCTGTAAACTTAGCCGAGAAAACTCCGTTACGTACGATTCAATTGACCCACGCTGTTGGATAGAGAACATATCCAACCGCACTCTTTCCCCATCATAGTGCGGGCCATACACTCGCGCTAGGGCGCTTTTCAAAGAATGCCAATCCGAAAATTGCTCACCTGCTTCCAGGGAAGAAATTAGCCAAAGACGCGCATTCCCAGCGAGGTAGCTAGCCGCAAAGTTAACTTGGCTCTCCGGGTCACCTTGAGGTGAGCACTTCAAGGCTAACTCGACCGTAAATACCCATTCTTTGAACTCGGAAGGGTTGCCATGGAAAACATTCGGTTCTCTGGTAACGCGTTTGACGCTCGAGCTTGTCTGGGAGAGAGAACGCGATCGACACGGGGCTAGATCCGGAGGACTTGAGCTTGATGTAGCAGGTAATTGATGTCGTCCAACTGTAGCAGCCACGTTGTCCCGAGCGCGGCGGATCTCACGGAAAGCAAAGTATCAGCAAGTACAGTCATGTAGTACAATTTGTTCCCAAAATAACTTCGGGACAGTCTGTTCATGGTTTTCATTTGTATTGGACTCGTTCTCTACACTTGCGATAATTTAGCGGCAATTCTAACGTTGTAGCGTTGTTCTCTTGTAATTTAGTGGAACCTGTATTGAGTAACTGAGTTTTATGTTTCGTTACATTGTCGTCAGATCTCCTGTGTACCGGTTTTGTGGCACAATGATTATAGCCATTATATTTGGTCGTCTCCATTCTTGTGCAATCATGCGTACATGTATGTAGGTTGGTTCTCTTCATGTTATTGTGACCAATTTCATAGATGTTGGTTGCCTTGTTGCTTTCTCTCCCCTCTCCTCTCACCCAAGCCATTCTGCATAAGCGAAGCTGTGGACGCAGCATACTGCTGCTACACTTCAACGCGGGAATGCGTATAATAATAATAATAATGTATATGTGTGTTATATATGTGTATGTATATGTGTATGTATATGTGTATGTATATGTGTGTATGTATATGTGTGTTCTCGTTTGTTTGCTTTTCTCTAGATCCTTTCCGACAAACCTTCAACCTGGGCGTGTTTGTCAATGACAAGATCTATGATCTCATCTTACGTGTGTTCAGAGGTGCACACCATCACTTGTCAGTCCCCACCAGTGCTAACTTTCAGGACATTCGGGTATGCCGCCACTAGCTGCTGATATGAACGTGCACACACACACACACACACACACACACACACACACACACACACACACACACACACACACACACACACACACACACACACCGTTGGAAAGCCCACAAAGGGCCACATCACCTTTGATCGTGATAGCATATAATGTAGGTGGGACACTGGCTCCAGTACCAAGATAAGTCATTTTGCAAAGTGAAATTATGACCACGGGTTCAGACGACAACTCTCAGCGTGGCTTGGCTTGGTTTTTTTGTGATGGCCGTGATTGTGGCAGTTCTTCCCGTACTGGGCAGGCGTATGCCACTGTAATGGAGATGATGTCCTGTTGTGGACATGGAAATCTGGTCTGAGGTCAAGCGCCCCAGGATGCTGGCCATGTAGCTGTGAGTACACATACGATCAACGCGTGCACTGCATGCAATGTTCTGTACGCACTGAGGGCGTTGGCCCCGCGTCTTTCGACAGCATTTCCATGTCGACGACGGTAGTTATGCTAATCTACACACATGCACAGGCTTCCATTAGCCTTTTATCAAGTCATATGGTATGATCATGTTTTAGCTGTTGCCTCCGCTCAGAGATGTTGTGCTTGTCTTTTTTCTTTGCCGCCGCTGCTGCTGCTGCTGCTGTATCTAGACGCACGTATTCTCTCCCTATCATCTGATGGGTCGTGGCCAGGTGCAAGTACCACCCAAGACATGCACACACTGCGCTGTCCAGGGGCAGCACTTCTCCTGGGAATGTGACAAGAAGACTATGGTGAGCATCGTGTTGTTAAAATCATTTAAAATCATTACAGTGCAAATATCACTTATCCTGCGGCAAGTTTGCACCATCACAAGTCACAGCAGACCTCGAATTTGTCCCGTACATCCAAACAAGTCTAATGTCTGCAGCTAAAATACTTTTAAAAATAGAATTTAAAAAGCACATGAATAATTATCAAGAAAAACGACCAAAGGTTGAATTGTTATCCATAGTTGTCCAACACTGACAATTATAAGCAAGCTCCTGGTGAGTCACAACGTGCAGCAGTCATTAGAGAGGTTCTGCGAAACGAAAATGCGTACAAACTTTCGCTCTACATCATGAAGTGAGAAACTTTGCACGATCTTTCGCAACTTTTTTGGACGCGAAACTTGCATGAAACACAAAATGACTTTTCACGAGAAGTTTCGTTGGATCATAGCTAGCTCCTCCGTTGAGGCAGTTTCTGGATTGCACTCCATGCTGTTTCCTCTCAAATAGTCTTGGAACAGTCAATTTTTACCTAGAATAAAACGCACCGAAAATTTCGGTACTACAAGTACAGTACTAGTTCGCTTACCTGGAAAACGGGTTTACCGAAAATTTCCCTCCGCCGAACCGCCGATTTTGGAGTATACCGATAATATTACACCACCGAACATTTCTGCTTGTACAGTGAATAGTGTTATGTGCCCCGCCTGGTGCACTACAGTCTCTTTTGCACAATCAAACGATGGTTTTAAATTCTGCAAGTTCTACTTTTGCCCCGGCAAACTTTGCAACAATGTTGCGAAGACTTTGCCGGAATCCGCGGAAAAGGTGGACGTTTTCCGAATCTGTCGTGGCCACGAGGTCATGAAGTTCTGTGGGGACAGGTGAGGTGTGTGCAGTGGCAGCAAGCTGTGCGAGTTCTCATTGTCATGCAGATGAATGAAGCTACATGTGGTCGAACTAGTCTGGCTTGTTGCTCGTTTCATCGGTGCTTCTACAACTACTAGCCACCTAAGGGGTCGTCACAAGGGTTTTTGATCGTCGCTGAAGCGAATTATTGTTAATTTGAGGGGGGGGGGGGTTGTGAGCCGAAATTGCATGTCAACCGACACTGTGTTGATATCCGTCGTCCAGCATAGCAAGCTGCGTTCATTTTACAGTGGTGAGGGGGTCTGAGTACGATATGAACAATGTGTGTTTCAGGGACGACAAACAACTTTCGTGACGACACCTAACCTGCCTTGTATGCACGTGCACACACGTATACGTGCATACAGGTGTGGTGCCTTGACTGTGGATGAGCTCTGCTAGTGTCACATGTTTGCCTTGCTCTGACTTGCTCGGGATCATTCAAAAACCTGGCTCTTGATCAATAATTATAAGTTCTATCGCACCCAGAAATCCTTGGAAATTGAGGCGTTTTTGGTTTTTTGTCTCTTCCATCTCCTTCCCGTCGACTGATTGGGTGTGTTTCTCTTGTCACAGGAGTCCTCAAATTCAGCCGCTGGAGATCAAGGATGAGCCCAGTGGCGGCAAGAGGCATGAATGAGCCAGTACCAGTACATGTGCGCCGTGGGCCCTTACGCACGCGCTGGGACAATAGGCACGGGGAAACCCAATGTGGCCGTGCGGCCCGGCACATACACACACCTCCTGACATTGACAGTGTGATGATGGTGATGGTGGCGATGGTGAGCACGGGGAATGCGGTCTGGAGCAGCCAGACACCGACCGCCAAGGGCCAAGTACCAGTACCGTGTGTCACGCTGCACCTGCTGCAAATGCAGTACACACTCTGCAGTACACACTCTGCTGTACACACTGTGCTGTACATGCTGTGCAGTACACAGTGGTGGACCCATGCAGCGGCCGCACCTGCTGGTGCCAGTGTCTGCTGCCATGGTTACCCAGCCAGCACAACCACCTTCGGCACCTGGTCAGCAATGTAGCCGCCGCAGCCTCCGCTGCTGCAGTAGAGTGGCTACAGCTAGCCTGGTGATCAACTTTGCAACTTTCTACGTCTGGTCCGCAGACAACAGACAAACTGAGATTCGTGATCATTCTCCTTCTCCTCCCTTTCCATAGAACGTTTTACATATTATTTTCCAAGGCGTGCGTGCTTGCTCGCCTGTGTGTGTGTGTGTGTGTGTGTGTGTGTGTGTGTGTGTGTGTGTGTGTGTGTGTGTGTGTGTGTGTGTGTGTGTGTGTGTGTGTGTGTGTGTGTGTGTGTGTTGATTGATTCTCACGTCTTCTTGCACATCTGCTCTCCAACCATGGCTTCTGAGATGTATGTACTAGTCCTTGTGTAGGAATGAGCTGAGCTTGCCAAGTGGGTAGGTTCCGTGTGTTCACCAACAACAGCGGCACATGTGCTATGGATACGAAATATCTCAGAGCGCCTGTTTTGAGTGCTATGGCAACACTGCTGCTTGCTAGTTTACAATGGTGACTGTGAGCAATGCTGTCGTGGTCGAGTCTACATGGTCTACGTGAGTAAGTGTATGTGTGTGTGTGTGTGTGTGTGTGTGTGTGTGTGTGTGGTGTGTGTGTGTGTGTGTGTGTACGTGCGTGTGTGTGTGTGCGTGTGTGCATGTGTGTGTGTGTGTGTGTGTGTGTGTGTGTGTGTGTGTGTGTGTGTGTGCCAGCTAGTTCGGTTGGTAGGTACACGTATGCCTGATTGTGTTGGGTCTGTTGCCAACAGGCTCGGCTGCTTGAAGGTGTAATGTTGTACCTGCCACCTTTGTTGGTTCCAGGGTTCATATACTTTCTATTTGAAGTATACATACCTGTTAACCATGGACTGCTTCTGGCTAGATTAACTCTTGTGTAATCAATGGTGCTAGTGAAGCTTTTATCAGATCCACTCTGATTTAGCCACTCACACTAGTAGCAAATATTACCTTCACTGGGGGCCGGGGTAACTGCAGTTGGATCCCAGGACGGATACCCTGATGCCGTCAATCCTTTTTCTGCACCTTGTCCTCACCCACTTACTGAGGTGTGGTGAGCCCATAAGTGGGATCATTTTCAAGTCCACCCAGAGTTTTGGGGATTTCAGGGGGTGTCGGCCGTTGGGCGGTTCAATAACCAGTTGAGTCATCTTTCCAAGATTCCTTTTGAGTCACTCTCCCCTCTCCCCGGGGGACTCACATGACCAGTTTTGGCAGTGAGCAACAAGTAAGTAAGTAAGTAAGTAAGTGTGTGTGTGTGTGTGTTGTGTGTGTGTGTGCATGTGTGTGTGTGGTGTGTGTGTGTGTGTGTGTGTGTGTATGTGTGTGATTGTGCGAGTGTGGGTGTGGGTATGATTGTGTGAGTGTATGGGTGTGGGTGTAGTTGCTATGTCTAACATAGCTGTTCGCTATCATCGCTCCCGCGATGGGCATGTCTGAGGGTGTACGTGTGAGTGCTGGCTGCCTACCACTTGTGACTGTGTGGGGATGCAGTGTGGGGATGCAACATCCCCTCAGCGGAAGGGAGCAAAGACTGTGAGGCCTTTTGGAGACACACTTTGCCTTCCTGGATGTAATGCCTGTGTCCATGGTGTCCAGCTGTAGGAACTTGACTAACAAACTAACTGTGAGCCCTACAACAGTACAAGGCTACATTCTACAGCAGGTAGTGGTACAGACTTTGTACCACTACTAATATACTTTCAGCATGGCATGTCTCTGTAAGCCTACATTATAATCGTCGAGACGACAAGAGTTATTAGTACACAAAGTCACAATGTCATGTAATAGTACTAATACTCTTGCTTTCAGGTACAGTGGCAAGTAACAAGTTAGTGAGGTGTACTGTACAATGACTATTATGTACATGTACGTGTAGATCTACGTCTTGATCTTTGTTACCCAGCATGCCATGGTTACGGCTAGTATGAAATCTTTGCAACGCACTATTGACCTGTATTGTTTCGTTGACACTGTCACAATAGTAAAAATAGTTCGTGGTTCACGAATTTGTTTGGACGATATCGTAGACCTGCTAAGTACTAGTCGAGAAGAAAAGCTTGCTTGCCGCCAGCCGTGTGGATGAGTCGACAAGGATACGACCAGAAGTGCTTAGTGGGAAGAATCTGCCGAGGTCAGCTACAGCTAGGACACCACGCATGAGCCATGATCTATTCTTGGTGATAACCATGATAACACGGTTAGCGGACCGAGTGGGTGGCTGCAAGCTGCTTCTCGGTCACGGACGTGTCCGTACGATCCGTAGCTTCCTCAGGTTCGACTACAACAGACAGTCAACTATTACTTACTAGCTATTACCAGATTACTTACTGCCACTGGTACCATGGCATGGGCATGGTCGTCGCAGTCACGAAGTGATAGTTTCTGATAGCGCATGGCCCGCCAGAAGATACGTGTACCTCGCTACTGTAGAACTACGCAGCAGTTGCTGTCACAAGTCTAGTACAGACTGTCAGTGTAACTGTTAGCTCCATCACTGCATCAGGAAGTAGTAAAATTACCTCCATGCTGCGTGGTAGCGCGATGGAGGGTTGTGAGCATTTGCAGTTACTAGTATTACTATCCGTGCTCCTAGCGGCGGCTGCTGGGAGCTTCTTGTCGCGGTACTGGGCTCCTTGCATCGCGCCAAACCGGACACGCTCTTGACAGGCTGGACTGCAGTGATTTCAGCCAAGGCGAGCAGTTCGGTAAGAAGCTAATCTACATGCATGACTTTGTACACATGACCCCAACTTGGGGCCAAGGAACTCGCTAGGCAAATATGAACGTCGTCTCGCCAGTACAGCAGGGTGCAGTACTGATACTGGTGCAGCTAGTATAGACGGGAATTGGAAATCCGATACCGCCTGCTCTACCCTTTGGCCTTTAGGCATGATCACTCCCAGCAGCTACAGATCCAGTGTAGATGATAGCAAGGCAAGTGTCACTGCATTATCACAGTCTGGATCAGGTTTCAAAGGAGTGTGTTGATTCAGTTTCCCAAGACAACAACTAAGGACAGCTAGATTGCGTCAAATTACTGATGCACGCAGGGGCGCATACGGTTTTGTGAATTGTACCGAGGCATAAGCAGCTTGCCCTTAGAGTGGTCACTAGCTTAGTGGCTAACACATTGGTCTTCGTGGCCACTGGTCTAATTGACACAGAGCCAACAACCGGTCCGGACCCACTGGCCACCGACCGCCACGTTGGCAAACCTCCCGTCCCGTGGCAGGAAAAGCTTAGGAAGTGATGTGGTCTCGGAAGGGTGGCGTCAGCTTTGTCACGCTGATGATACTCGTTGTGAATGCAATTGGAATGAGCCGTTGCCAATCTTGCAGTCCTTCTGCTTTCCCAGACACAAGTAATGTGAGGACATTCCTTGATGGAACAGCCAGTGGTAGCAAAGATCACCTCCGCTATGTGGCAAGCCTCTTCCAGCAGATGAGTAGTGCACAAGCAAACTGCTCGGCCGATGCCAGCAGGACACGATCTACCTTCACCACCATTCCTAACCGTGTGTTTGCTGATGGTTTTCAAAGCAGAGTTTTTGAACAGCAGGAAGTGTTCTCCGTCAGCAACGCACAGCTCCTCAACAATTTACTTTTGTCTGCTCCGCCAACTGCCAACAATGCTAGCTCAGCTAAGCAATCTTACTGCTTTGCTGAAAGTGGTGACCAATGTACTGATTGCAACATCTGGCAAAATGACCTGTACTTCAATTCTCATCTGAGAGCTACACTGGAAGCCAGGCCTGATGCAACTGCAGTTGGTACCTGCTTCAAAACAGGGCCAACTACCATGGACTGCCGAGAGGCAACAGCTGTTGCGTCCAAGAACATATCTATCAGCCGCCAGTCAAGTGTGAACACTGGTTCATGCAGTGAATCATGGAAGTGGCAAAAGCCATTGGACATCTTCAATGCTCAACAAGCAAACGGTAGCTTTAGCAAGTCAAGCATGACAAATATAGTCAGTGATGTTTATCAACGTAATCAAACCGTGTATTATGTGACCCGAAACACCTCTGCGTGGAGCGATGTTATCTCTCAGTGCTATGAGGACGGTAGGACTGAATGGGTCCATATCCACACCGTTCCTGTCATAGTGAATTGCACAACACGTCTTGCATCTGCTAAGCTTTGCACCACAGCTGAGGTGGGCAAGCTTGTGATAGTGGGGTCCTCTTGGACAGCCTTCTCTCTACGCACAGCATACAACTTGACACAGTGTCCAGCTAGCAGCAGTGGGCCTCAAAATGATGTGTTCGTTGGATCAGCGGCATGCGGCCAGGCTAACGTTGCTGGTGATTTGACTGAGTTGTTGCAGTGTGTGAACCGTCCCAGTGGATTCCAGCCAAACAGTTATGCCTGTAGCTGTCCGGGTGCCATGCATCTGGTTGATTCGCAAGAGTCGAATACGGTTGTTTTGTCTGGACAACGGGTCTCCTACCTTGGCAGTTACATAGCGTCGCGCGTCGGATCTGGTGTGAAGCAGATCAGTGTCAGCACATGCCAGGCTTGTCAGCCCGGCTGCCGTAGCTGTATTGATGCACAAGTGTGTCTACGCAGCGATGATCCAGCGCTCCGTATTCCTATCGTCAGCGTCAGTGCCGTGTTCCTGGCTGCTGTTGTTGTCCTTGCGCTGTACATCTACAAAGTCCGTCTAACAAACGTCATCCAATCCGCATTGCCGCCGTACCTATTTGGCATTCTGGTCGGCGGTGTCTTTACCAACCTTGAAGCATTCATTACATTCCACCCGCCCCATGATGTACTCTGCGCGCTGCAGCCCTGGCTTCGGCATGTTGCGTTTGTCCTCACGTTTGGCTTTCTGTTCGGCAAGATCTGGCGCGTTCACGTCTTGGCCAGGATAGCGCCAGGCCGCATCCGAGTTGGTGCTCTTGATGCCAGCATCCAGCGGTTTGTTCTGGCCATTCTTGGGCTGACGGTGCTGTACCTGACTATCTGGACAGCCACTGGACGGGCCACTGTGGAGATCATGTACGATGGTCAAGATAGGAGCTACGCCAGGTGCAGTGTGGACTACTGGCGCTACATCATTCACGGAGGTGAGTTCAAACACCGCTAGCCTGGCCAGCCAAACTGTTCTATTTGCCAACTTTTCAGTGGAACTCAGGTACTGTTCGCAAGCCCAGCACTGAACTACTGTGTGTGTAGCTGTAGTAGGAGTCTGATGATGACCCCAGGCCGAAGGTTCGATTAAGATTTGTCTTCTTATTGTAGCATAGAGACGAACTACTACTGTTATCTAAATAGTGATGATCGAGAGCTTGATTGACTGCATGCATATGCAGTAGAGAATACTAGAGAATAGTAGAGATGCTTAATGGAAGCCAAACAATTTGCAAGTAGATCTACAGGATGCTTGTTTGTGCAGCAACCTGTAACCTATCGCAGACTTTACCTTAGATTTTGTTCGGTAGTTTATGCTACGCTTGGTGTATGGTTAGGGTTAGGCTAGGTCAGGATGTGGTTAAGATCAGGATCAGGGTTTGGGTTTGGGGCAAGCCGACTGCTATAATTACAAAGCTGTAGTTGAAGCATGTGCTGACTCTGCTCTCCCTCAATTCTTGCAGCGGAGTTCCTATTCTTGCTGATGGGTTGCGTCGTCGCTCACCTTACCCGCCGGCTCGTCTTGGATTGGAGCGAGTTCAAGTTTCTTCTTGCCGCCTTTGCCAACGCCGCCGTCGCCAAGGGCCTGATCGGTGTGTTCTACTTCACCCTGCTGCCGAACAAGTACGCCGACTATCTGTACCTGCTGCAGTTCTTTGACAACCTGCTCACCGTCGACGCTCTGCTGATCATTGTGTTTGCTCCGAAGGTTAGCTGTTGATTACCGCTGTTGGTTAGTTTTGGTAAACACTAATAGCTAAATATATACAGTCATGTGTATGCAAGTACCATAAAGTCCGCTGCAGACGCCCACCCCGTTTTTGCAAGATCTGTTGGCCTCTACGCACTGTCAGACCCCATGCACTGTCACCGCTATCGTACGAAAGTGCATCTCACACCGTAGCGCGAAGAGCGCTTTGCTACGGTAAACTATGTCCGCTTTCCTGGTTTCAAAATGTCTTTGGGCACTAGCTCGTAGAATCACCGTTGAGTTCATCGTGGCACTGCAGATCTTTCATGATTTGAAAACCAGATAGATTCTACGGCGTCACCACAGATGGACGTTGTGATACCCTCCACACTTGGCCATGCAGTTATGGTTCCATAGGCGAAAACGCCATTCATCGTACATGACTCATGAGTATGATAATGGCTTCACTATACAGCCACGGTATGTCTGAATGCTGGTGATGGCAGAGTTAGTAGTCACTATACAGTATGTATGAATGCTGGTGAGGGCAGAGTTAGTTCTTTTTACTGCTTTATACAGTATGTGTGTACGGTTTTAGGGGGGGGGGGCTCAGAAAGACTGTATTGTACGGTTCCGATAAATGGCGACAAGTATCATCGGGTCGGCCCCTTAGTCAACTCGTTCGTTTTCCCAACTGCTGCTTTCCAGGTCTACATGATTCAACGGCAGAAAGGTGATCGTGAGATTGGGCCGACCATTTCCATGAAGCTCCCTCCAAAAGAATCCAAGCCCGATGCGGGTGAGAGTGAGCAGGTCCACACCGAAGTAGCACTACACGAGCACGTCGATGTAAGGCCAGAAGCTGGAGCTGGAGCTGTGGAACGAAATGAGTCTTCCCCGGGCAGAGGAGCGGGATCGCCAGTGCCCGTAGCTGATATTGGAATCCTGGATGTCATGTGTGGCTGTTTCTGCGGCGTGCTGAAAGCGGTAAGGTGACCGACTGCATGTGCCGGTAGACAGTGCGACGGTGTCTGACAGGTCACTGCACTTACTACTACCTTGGGAACTCTGAGACGTTTTGGCCACTTTTTTTCACACAGGGTGGAATTGCATGTTTCTGTTCCGGACACTGAAGACTTTTGTGCGTTCTTTTTTTTGTTTTGTTTAAATGTACACGTGTATGTTTTAGCACATTGTTACGCATATACGATACTGTGTTACCCGCGGGGTTTCATTCACTTACAGGAATGGTCTGTGGACGATGGCGCGACTGCGGGGACCGAGACCGGGAGACCGTTAGACGTCCTGGCGACCCAGTTCACCGTTGCCAATGCAAGTCCAGCGACAACCGAGGGAAATACCACCTCAGCGGCCAGTGCCAGCCCCGCCATGACAGACCAGCACGATGGAGGAAAGAAGACTGGCGAGGACGAGGAGAAACAAAGCGGCGCCACCGCCACTTAAGACCTGCCATACATGGTGAACTACATGGATAACGTGGAGCTAGGCACCACCTAATCACGATTACCCGGAACGCAACTGGCTGTCACAAACCCAGGCACGCAGTGATCATCGGTCAGGGTAGCAATGGGGTATGCACACCGCGATTGATTTGTCGAATCACTGCTCAACCGCATTGCCGGAGCACCGGCAGCAGTGGACAGCAGTTGAAACTTGTCTGAGGCCCCAAGGAATGGAAGGCTGTGCCAGTGATGAAACTGAGACTGAAATACATAAGTTACGTTGCAATCCTTACAATTATATGTACATGTACATTGTGTATGGGCCTTGGTCACTCGGTGAATATATTCACCTCCGGAAAATCCGTACTTTTCTAGTATCTGTGTAAATTGGCGCAGCGTTTCCATTTCCATTATTGCTGTTGAAGCCGCTGACCATCTGCTGACCACCTGCTCGCAATTTGCCTCCGGATACTTATTATTATTATTGTTTCCGAAATAATCTGTTGCATGAGCATGCAGTACATGTACAGCAGAGAGTGCATTGACAAACTTTGGAGGTCTACACGAATAGTGCTCATGTGATCTTGTCACAGGTTTTCAAATACGCTGCCAATCAGCGTTGCCCGTGCGCACGCATTTCTTCGGTTTAAAAAAATATATAAATAAGGCCATGGTAAAAAATATCTTTGATTCTCAAGTACGCGCGCATCGATTTTTGGTGGCGCACCGACGATTTTTTTTATTTCTATGCATGCATATGCGTGCATGAAAACGGTCAATGCGAAAGGCATGAATCCGGGAGTAGTAGTAAAATACCGGTATTTTTCTACTCCCTGGCCTGAATAATAAAATAATTATAAATTAATTATGAACCTGTGACGTACACATGTGTGACCCTATCTTTGGAAATAAAAAAATTGTGGGAATTAAAATAAAAAATCGCTCGCTCGCACCGATTTCCACAGGCTCATGACCTGAGAATCAACTTTATTTTTTACCATGGCCTAACTTATAATGATGTTTGGCTTGGCACTGGCGACTAAACTGGATCATGTGACCGAACAGCAATGTGCCTACTAGTACCTCACTCAATACTGCTCAAGTGACAATGCAATGCTGGGTTTGGTACGCTTGCATGATTCGCTGCTTCTGTTTCCACTTGTAACGTTATGTAGTGCTACTATAACTATACAGTGTAGTTCCAGCCGATCATATCAGGTACTCATACCCGGTACTGGCAGTGCAGGGTAGCAGTACTGTTTGCTGCTAGGAGGGTCACTAGGGAATTGCTGTCTCCTAGCATGAAAACAAGAGAGGCAATGAGCTGCTTATCAGAACTTGGTAAGGTTTCAACCTTCCCTTGCTTTTCGGCGTGCATTTCCCTTCAACATCAGAATTGCCAGAAGGCCTCCACAGCATGTGAAGGAGGCCGGTCTTATATATTTCCACTCGCAACTGGAGCAAACGGCATAGATTTTCGGCATGCATGTATGTGTATGTGTGTGGGAGGGGTACAATGTGCACGCTCTGCATTCCTACCATCCGTTCGCCATGTTCTGTCGGATGATGTGGTTATACTTGTAATATTACATGTACCATACTTTCGAGATGGCCGACAACCACAAGCTTATTGGTTCCATGGAGAAGACGAGGCTGCATGATCAGTTTGTGGCGCGGGGAAGTGCATGGTAGCAGGATGCTGCTACTGCTGCTTACGCCGCCGGACATTCTTTTTCTCAGGCTCCGCACCTCTTGCGGCCTTCCATGGTACGTTGAAAGCTGCCGGGCATTTCAGTCAAGTATGAGCGGTGGGATACCTACTTTACCGCTGGGGATGGCCTATCACCTCCTGGGCCACCTCCGCTTATTCATTATTTTGTGGGAACTTGCGGCACATTTTCCGGACAAAAGATCAAACCAGATCAGATGTAGGTGTACTGGGCTACTACTGGCAAGTGTCAACTGGCTGTTCCGCACCAGAGAGCCCGTACACTGTTCGATGGTCCAAAAGTCAAGGTAGTTGTTTAAACTACCTTGGCAAAAGTGTCCTCCATTGGACCATGGTCCACTTCATGTGTTTTCCTCTCCCAGCCACCCGATGCATTAGCAGTTACACATGTCTGTTGTTCTACCCGCTGCTGTGCTATGAGTTGGCTGCTTTCGATCTGCTGCCTCACTTTGGGACCATCTCTTCAGCCTAGCCCTGGCATAACATTATGTCCAACTTGTGACGTTGACCCAGATGTTTGCGGCCGCAGGAAGACTCAGATGTCAGCCGTAGGACTTGGCGTGGCATCACTGTGACGCTATTCTCTCTGCAGGATCGGCTGCCTCTTCAGAGGCACCACCTCATTTCTTTTTCTTTTTTCAATCTCCTCCTAGTCTGGTCACAAGATATCAGTTGTCTGGAACAAGCTCCCTGAGAAGCTATGCGGTGATCGATTGTTGTCATGTATTCTGTTTCTTCCCGGTGGGTTTTGCCTGTAGTTTTTCTTGAGCAGTGTTTCAGCAAATTCTTTTCCCTTGACCCCTTTTTCACTTCCCTTCTACCCCATCCTTTTGGAGAATCCATCAAATAAAGTCTGAAGAATCAGGGAGTCGTAAAATACGGTATTTTACGACTCCCTGGTCTGAATGAATGAAAACCATGTTGCATGCCTAGCGACTGTGCGAGTGTCACGGCCTGTGTGCCTACGTGATCGTGAGTACAGTCAAACCTCGCTTATCCGGTCCTCTTTTATCCGGATCCCTCGCCATCCGGAAGAAAATCGTTGGTTACCGATTTACAGCATACAATGTATGTCATGCACTGAAGCCAGCGACACTAATGATGCACTTTACTTACAATAGTAGCAAAGTATGCTTCACAACACATCGTGTGGCGTCAAAGAAGAAAATTAATGATCATTTTAGTGGATGGCTAATTCTCATTGAATTCAATTTGTATTCAACACGTTCTACCAAGAATACATGTACTCTTGGTACTACTTGTAGTGCATGTACCAGCACGGGTGTTTTGAGATTCGGAACCGTGCCGTGTACAATAACGAGTACATGTACAGGGGGGGGGGGGGGGGGGTACATGTCAAGAATCACGGTCAAGGTCCCTTGTGGTGTGCCCCGTGGGCAGCAGGGACTGCAAAGACTATTACCAAGAGACTCTATATCTTAGTGTTTCGTGTCCTGAATCAGTTAACTACTACTCTCCTTACTGCTGCTGGGAGCGAGTGCAGGAATTGGTACGAGTAGAAGTAGAACGAAGGCAAAAGCAATCAGTAAGGAGAGTAGTAGTTAACTGATTCAGGACACGAAACACTAAGATAATAGAGTTTGAACTGATAGCGCACAGACAAAGGGAGAATGTGATGGCGTGCATTAATAAGGGATACGTCAGAAAAACGAGGCATACTGAACACAATGCGTAGAGCTCTATTACTAAGACGGACTAGACGGTCGTGCAGAGTTACTGACAAGCAGTGAGCAAATGAGTTGCTCCCATACTCGAGTACTGTCTGAATGGAACAAATGTAAAATGCACGCTTTGCAGTTACCGTCATGTGATCTCGGACCTTTCTGAACATGGCTAACTAACTTACTTCCAACTTTCCGCTCTAGTTGCCTAACGTGCTCTCCGAAGGAGAGATGTTCGTCGCCAAGGTATCGAATGTGTGCACTACAATTGTAGGGTTGATTGTGACCTCACACCCAGCTGTAGAGCGACGCTAGCGCGCTAGGGTCAAGGGGCTTGCACTTTGACCTGAACACGACAAGCTGCGTCTTGGAAGGATTCAGCAGTAAGCCTCTGGCCGCCAAGAACTCTTTCACTTTCACAATGTCTTCTGTCAACTCCTTGCACAATTGTTTGACGTTCTTGCCAGCTTTGTACAGGGAGACGTCGTCCGCGTACTGTCGAGCCTTGCAGTGCTGGGGTACAGATGGGAGCTTTCTGACTGACAGATTGAAGAGAGAGGGCCCCAAGACGGAGCCTTGCGGAACCCCCCTGTTGCTGCTATATGTCAGGCCTTGCTGTGTCTTGGTGACCACACGAGGGCCCCAAGACGGAGCCTTGCGGAACCCCCCCCCCTGTTGCTGCTATAATTATGTCAGGCCTTGCTGTGTCTTGGTGACCACACGTTGCTTCCTGTGGGTAAGGTAGCTACAGAACCACTGCAAGGCAGTACCACCGACACCGATCTCCAGAAGTTCACTCAGTATCGGAACTTCATGACTAACTATGTCGAATGCCTTAGACATGTCTAGAAAGGCAGCTACGACATAATCACCATTGTCCAAGGAGAGCATCCAGTCGTTGATCACGGGAGTGAGCAAGTCCTCGCAGGAGTGGCCTCTGCGGTAGGCAAATTGCTCAGCAGGTAGGGGTAACAGTGGTGGTGGTGCATTATAGATATAGTACATTAGTTGGTCGTGTACAATATGTTCCAGTAGCTTAGACATGTGGGACAGGAGTGATATTGGTCTATAGTTTGATGGGATTAAAAAATATCGATCCCTTGCATAAACATGTGTATGTTCGTTTTGAGGGGGGAGGGAGGGGGTCTAGGGAGAAATGAACAAATATCGTCTTGAAAAAAACATCGATATTTACGGACGTCCCGGGGTTACCGATAGTTTTTGCAAAACGAAAAGTATTAGTATTTTTCAGCACCCATCCACCCACCTACCTTTTCTGCAGGTAAAACGAATTCCAATAAAATATTGATGTCAATTTTCGACACCCAGAAGTAACTGGGCATTCTCCATCTGCATTCAATAATTATTTTCAAAACGAAACTCCTTCAAACCCACCCACCCCCAAACGAAAACTTTTCGTTTTGAAAATACTATTGGTAACCTTCGACGGCCCCTAACTCAAGGCTGTAGCCTTGACTTTTTTTTCTATGCCTCTTGAAGAGTCTTGTACGGGCAAAACTTAAAGACAATCAATTATTATTATTATTACACAAGAGAGAGTTTGGAAGCTTTGTCACAACTCCGAGTTTCACGTATCTCTACGATCATCAGGCAACTGATGGATCCAAAACGGGCAGCCAGAACATAAGGGGGAGCAAGGTGGGAAATTCCGAGGGGTGTCATAGGCGACGCGTATCATAGCGCAAGAGTCAGGTGCAGGCGTGAAGTTGCCAAGTCTTCAGACTTGGGGCTATGCAGCAGTAGTTCCGGCATGAATGATATAGAATAGAGCTGGGGACAAATGCCAAATCCACACATGCCCACACCACTACAAAAACATACACCCACACTCTCTCCCTTTTCTCACATACACATACACTCACACGCGCGTCCGCACACATTCTCTAAATCTCTCTCTCTCTCTCTCACACACACACACACATTCATTCTCTATATCTCACACATGCACAGGCACACACACACATTCATTCTCTATATCTCACACACACACACGCATTCTCCAAATCTCACACACACATTCTCTAAATCTTACATACACACACACACATTCTCCAAATCTCACACAAACATTCTGTCTCTCTCTCTCTCTCCCTCTCTCTCTCACACACACACACACACACACGGCCACAATGCTCATCCTTTCATTCACACACCTACCGCACACATACTTGCACCCGCACTTATCCAATCACCCACACGCACTCTCTTTCTCACGAATGCCCACAAACACACACACACACACACACATGCGCGCTCACACTCACACACACACACACACACACACACACACACACACACACACACACACACACACACTTGGCAGCGGGACTACCAGCTAGATTCACTTGACCTTGCGCGCAAAGTTACAGAGGTAGAACTTGTTTTCATGACGACACTTGGACACAAGCTCTGACCTCTTGTTGAGGGAGCGGGTCTTGTCGGCCCAGGCAATCTCCAGCTTCTCGGCCAGACACAGGTTGCAGCGCTTCGAGATGTTAGAGTATGGTGCGGCTCTCCTCACTATTATTATTATTATTAATTCAACATCTCCTGGGGGGGGGGGGGGGGGGGGGGGAGTCCTGGCTCGTCAGAAGACTGCCAATATATATGAGAAGTCGGGTGATAGCCAACCACGGCGAACTGAATAATAAGGAGAGAAACAAAGAGAGTACTGCAAGGGGAGGCATGACGAAAATGGTGAGATTATTTAGGACGAAGAAGCTGAAGCTTGAACTCCTTAACCTCTAAAAATTACACATAACGTGAGATTTGCACCGCGTTTTGAAAAAGGGCAAAAAACGTGTAACTTAATCTCTCTAAGGGGTCGTCCGTATTTTTCGAAAAATTAAAAAATCCGTCCTCAGGCAAAAAGGGGGTGCACCGGTGGGTGGTCAAGAGTGCTGGCGGAATTTAATTTTTTGATTTTTCGTACTTTTTTTTTTTTTTTTTTTTTTTTTTTTCGCCAGTGACTTTCATACACTTGTTGCACTGATACAAGTATATAGCTGACTGTGTATACTGTACTGTAGACGTACAATTTTTTTGTAGTGTAGGATCGATTGTCGCAAACACCAGTATCTACTATGATACATGACTTTTCATGTAGTTGTAGGACGGTGCATGCATGGCCGTGACGTCGGTAGACCTACTACTCACTGTACTTAGCTATGCTGTAGTACTAACACAGGTGCAGTCAGAAAACGTGGGGTCAGGAGTTCTTATTTTCGAGCTGGGCATCGGTAAAAATCAAAAAATTAATGGGAAAAATTGGGGGGTGGATGGGTGGGTCAGAGACAATTTTGCACGAGGACGGATTTTTTAATTTTTCGAAAATTACGGACGACCCCTAATGAGTTCAATTTCCTCATGAAACGTGACCAGTTGCCACTTTAATTTCACCATACACCCTCTAGCCCTCTCGCTTAGGATGAGCTTTCTTTTTTATGGCAGCTTAAGCGAAGGCTATATACCTGCTTTATGCAGGTTGATGTCAACGCGAACAAGCAAAATAATAAATAATAATAATAATACACCTAGGTTTATGTTGCCACGGTCGCACAGCCTTGCCATGGCTATGCTCACGAGGTTGACTTTCACTTTGTGTAGGTCATAAACTACATGTTCGAACAGCGCCCGTCCTTGGATAGAGTCGATATCTTTTTCTGCAAAGACGAGACGAACAGGGCCCAAACCCCCTCCCCCCCCCCCCAAACGAACGAATATCTTCTCTAAAAAAACATCGATATTTGTGGACGACCCCTTAGGCCTTTAGGAGCGGTTCAGGGTATAGTTTCCAGAAATCGCAAAGAACCCAAATTTACCTCGGATGACAAGCTGCGCATGACGTAATGTAGGAATTTCGCCGAGCGCTGGGTCCGGGTCTATGCCCGTTGCACACTCTTCGGGGTTATGAACTCTTGGTCATATGTGGCACACAGTTTGACCTTTGACCCCACACTGTTTGCGTTGTTTTGTGCCACATATGAGTGCATAATTATGTACACGTAGATCTACGTGGTTGCCATGAACGTTCATACCGGTACCGCTGTACCGGTACGGTAATCATCATTTGGGCACCGCGAGATATGCGCTAGTGTGAGAGTTCTGCGGTCCGGAGTCGCTAGTCGTACGGATTATTACCATACATATGCAGCGAGTTCATCCAAAAAGAGAAGTTTTTGGGCAATACAACCACTGCCAATCAGTACCAGCAAGAGTCCATAACCCATGGACTCTTGGTACCAGGGCTAGGAAGTCGTAAAAAAGTATTTTACGACTAAAAAAGTATAATTATTACGACTCCCTGATCAGCACAATCAGTTGGTTTCGTACGGTTGTACAGTGCAGGGTGTACTACACTCGCACAGCGCACTGCACTGCACGTAGATCTACTGGCGACGTGGCGAGTCGAGTTGGGGTACCCCCGGGTGTACGGTATACCATTGTATACGGTTAGCTTCGCGGGAAGTACACGAATTGCCAAACGGAATGGATTTCAGGCAGAACCGCCACAGATCGTTTTTTCCAGCCAGCGCAGTCTTGGCCGGGTACGCAGGTAGGATCACACTTCACTGCATGACTGGTGTGTTTTCTAACTGCCGCCCTGCTTCTTGTGTAGTTGTGCTCGAAATCCCTTCGTCTCACTTTATGAGGCAAGGGAACTCACCTTTCCATCTCCTAAGACACGGCCTTTCCACCAACGAGCCAGTCTTGAACGGAAAGCCGGAGAACCATGGCGTGGTTTCACTTGACTTTCATCAGCTTCCTATGTGTTGTAAGCTTGGTCAGATGTCAGTCTCAATCCTGCACTCGCCCCGCTTTTCCGGATACAAGTAATGTGAGGACATTCCTTGATGGAACAGCCAGTGGTAGCAAAGATCACCTCCGCTATGTGGCAAGTCTCTTCCAGCAGATGAGTAGTGCACAAGCAAACTGCTCGGCCGATGCCAGCAGGACACGATCTACCTTCACCACCATTCCTAACCGTGTGTTTGCTGATGGTCTTCAAAGCAGAGTTTTTGAACAGCAGGAAGTGTTCTCCGTCAGTAACGCACAGCTCCTCAACAATTTACTTTTGTCTGCTCCGCCAACTGTCAACACTGCTAGGTCAGCTAAACAATCTTACTGCTTTGCTGAGAGTAGTGGCCAATGTACTGATTGCAACATCTGGCAAAACGACTTGTACTTCAATTCTCATCTGAGAGTTACGCTGGAATCTAGACCTGATGCAACTGCAGTTGGTACCTGCTTCAAAACAGGGCCAACTACCATGGACTGCCGAGAGGCAACAGCTGTTGCGTCCAAGAACATATCTATCAGCCGCCAGTCAAGTGTGAACACTGGTTCATGCAGTGAATCATGGAAGTGGCAAAAGCCATTGGACATCTTCAATGCTCAACAAGCAAACGGTAGCTTTAGCAAGTCAAGCATGACAAATATAGTCAGTGATGTTTATCAACGTAATCAAACCGTGTATTATGTGACCCGAAACACCTCTGCGTGGAGCAATGTTATCTCTCAGTGTTATGAGGACGGTAGGACTGAATGGGTCCATATCCACACTGTTCCTGTTATAGCGAATTGCACAAAACGTCTTGCATCTGCTCAGCTTTGCACCACAGCTGAGGTGGGCAAACTTGTGATGGTGGGCTCCTCTTGGACAGCCTTTTCTCTACGCACAGCATACAACTTGACACAGTGTCCAGCTAGCAGCAGTGGGCCTCAAAATGATGTGTTCATTGGATCAGCGGCATGCGGCCAGGCTAATGTTGCTGGTAATGTGACCGAGTTGTTGCAGTGTGTGAACCGTCCCAGTGGATTCCAGCCAAACAGTTATGCCTGTAGTTGTCCTGGTGCCAGGCATCTGGTTGATTCGCAAGAGTCGAATACGGTTGTTTTGTCTGGACAACGAGTCTCCTACCTTGGCAGTCACATAGCGTCGCGCGTCGGATCTGATGTGAAGCAGATCAGTGTCAGCACATGCCGGGCATGTCAGCCCGGCTGCCGTAGCTGTAGCGATGACTCCGCATGCCTGCGCCATGAGGATCAGGGACTGCGTGTCCCCATTCTCATCATCAACGTGATTGCGTTGGTTGTCATCCTGGTCTTGGCCGTCTCCATTCACGGCTCTCTGCAATCCTCTATCATCCAATCGGCTGCACCATCTTACCTGATGACTATTCTGGCCGGCGGCATATTCGCTAGCCTTGAATCGTTTGTCCTGTTTCCTCGTCTCAATAGCGCCGTCTGCGCAATCCAGCCCTGGCCCCGTCACCTTGCTTTCATCGTCATGTTTGGCTTCCTGTTCGGCAAGGTCTGGCGCGTGCAGATCCTGGCCAGGTTGCCCCCGGGTCGAATCCAAATCACTGCTCTCGATGCCAGCATTCATCGCTTTGTGGCATTCCTGATCGGCGTGGTGTGTCTGTATCTGACCCTCTGGTCTGCCATTGCACAGTCTACTATTGAGATTGTGTACGATGATCTGGACAAGAGTTACACGAGGTGCTCGGTGGACTACTGGCGCTACATCATTCATGGAGGTGAGTTTGAACGCGGGCATTGTTTTCTCCGCTTGTCAAACTATTGAAGAACCATATTTTCCTGAGTGTGAGGCGTACTTTAAACACCAGTCACGGCAGTAATCACTCTAAAATATTCAGTGCAGGTTATACTATGACAGTAAAATTAATGGTGATGAACAGGGTAGATGCCTGTATTTCGTGGCAAAAAAATATCCGGGTGCAGCTTCTAATCCAGTGCAGCGTATCTCTGGAAATTACGGTAGGCTGCGCCGCCAGAGGTCCCATCTCCCGGGAATGCATTGACGCGAGTGTCCTGTAGATAACGCCATGCAGTGGGCTTGAGAATATCAAGAGTACATAACACCCAAGAGTGTGCAACTCCGCTATAAGGCCACACGTTTTTATTTCTATGTTTCTCGTCACCCGCGCGCATACGATTCAGGAGTCTGGAAGAAAAAAAGAGAGAAAAAAACTGTGCTGCGCTGACTGTGCATGTGGCCGTGGGGACCAGCACACTCATGCACATGTACATAATGTGGCCTGGCCTGCGCAACACATGATGCGAGGTCACCATTTTTTTTGTGCGCAATCTAGCTGCACGGGCGCGTGCGCAGGGGGGGGGTCCCGTTGCCCGGAAACCCCCCAAATGTTCCAAACGAGCAACGTTTTTGGGCATTTTTGGTAGGGCGCATGATCGATCTGGCAAGAATGCAAAACTTCAAAAGATCGTAACTCAGTCACATCTCGCTCAAATCCAACGATCCAAATATCCAAGTCGAATAGAAAATTCTCAGCTGTCGGTTTAAATAATTTGCGAAGCACTGCGAGCAATGTATCGTGAGATAAATCATTCGTAAGTTGAGCCGCGATCTCGGCAATTTCAAAAGCGCGCAGTGCGACTGTGAGATTTTCTCCTCGCTGATTTGCTCAAATTTGCAGGGGCTTCACTTGTGAGATTTTCAAGAGTACACAGCAAAAAATCGAAACTCTGCGATCAAGAAAAACGAAATCGCTGGAGCAGGATGCGTTTGAGCCTGTTTGGGGCATTTTTCGCACCGTCGCTGCACTCTACCGAGTATAGCGCTGGATATGTACATGACTGTACTGCGTCCTATCATGGTCGGCCTCATTCTCTCCCTGGTACCTTTCCACTTCCAGGAAGCCCAAGATAATGAAGATTGAGTGAGTAGAACTGAAGTTATGATCCAAACAACACGAAAAATGCATAATTTTGAAAAAATCCTAGGGCTCTTTAGAAAGGGTTAAAACTTAAAACTCATTATTTGGGATTCGGTTGGAACCCCCCCTAGAGGTGACACTGCGTACGTGCCTGCTGCACATGCACAGATTGTGACAGAAGCTCCTACCACATACTACAGTCCATTTCAAAACTATAGACTTGTACCTAGGCAAAAACTGTTATGCCAGCATCTATACCACATAAAATCTGTGATCACTTTGTGCATAAATTTTTCCAAATTGGGCGTCTGTTATCCAATCCTTTAGAAACTATATGAGAGTAATTGTGGAGCGATCCTGAGCAATATTCCGAAAACTATTCTCAAAAAGTTCCAGCCAAATTTGAAATATTTCAAAAACCCTACGCGTCTATAGTTTTGAAATGCACTGTAGTTGCTAACTATGGATGCTATTTTGCATGGTGTATTGGTGGATTTTAGTGTGAACAAAGGTCTAATAAACTTTATTTTTATTTTTCGGTCATTTTTATTTTTTCCACCTCTCGCATACGTTTTTAGATTTTCAGGTGACGAGAAACATAGAAATAAAACGTGTGGCCTAAGTACTGTCCTGACAGCGTTTCAAGTTTACGTCATTTTTATGATGCAATCGCCGATATGAAACTTATTATCAGACATGTCCAGGACCAGAGGAGGACAAATCCTCATTTGATCGCGTGCAAGCATCCTAAATCACTGTACAAAGTAGAAGTGCAAGACAGTGTTGCCAACTGCCAGTGTTTGTCTGTATTTTACAAGGATTTGAATTACTGTCCGCAGCTCGGAATTGGCAAACATTTCCCCAGAATGGAAACTTATTCTATACTGCGGAATTTGAGAAATTAGTGGTCGAATCATGTCCAAAACACTGTAAGCTGCAAAGCAACTAAGCCTACTGTAAAAGCCATTATTCTAACGAGGCGCATATAATAATAACGATTTCCCAAAATTGACTAGTTTACGTGTACCAAAGGTAGCCAGGTAACGATTTTCACTCATTCTCAACGCTCAATAGGACAGTATATGTGTCGATTTCTGTATAACGATTTCTATTTTAACGACAGATTTCTCCTAGTTAATTCATTAGAGTTAGCACTTCGTTATATATATATATATATATATACTCAATCTATATATATATATATACTCAATCTGCGGACAGAACTGTTTCGTCCTTTGTGGACTCATCAGCGCAGCACAGAGGAAATGAGGCCGAACCTGATAGCAATGGAAATAAAAATTTCCAATCAGGCCCGAACGTACCTTGCCAGAGTGCTCAAACTGACAAGTCAGTGAGCTCTGCATAACGCAAACAGCAAAGGCACTACCCCACGCAAGAGTGCTCAACTGCTACAAGAGCAGGAGCAAAATACTCAATCTGCGGACAGAACTGTTTCGTCCTTTGTGGACTCGTCAGCGCAGCACAGAGGAAATGAGCCCGAACCTGATAGCAATGGAAATAAAAATTTCCAATCAGGCCCGAACGTACCTTGCCAGAGTGCTCAAACTGACAAGTCAGTGAGCTCTGCATAACGCAAACAGCAAAGGCACTACCCCACGCAAGAGTGCTCAACTGCTACAAGAGCAGGAGCGAAATACTCAATCTGCGGACAGAACTGTTTCGTCCTTTGTGGACTCGTCAGCGCAGCACAGAGGAAATGAGGCCGAACCTGATAGCAATGGAAACGAGAGAGCTTGGAAGCTCAGGGCCCTACGCTATGCTTTCTTGCCTTGATGACCTAGACAAAAAGCATAGGGATGTTATAAATTCTTTAAAAAATTCCTTTTTTTTTTAGACATAACCTGGGATTCGAACCCGCACTATCGCGCGCCCTGCATTCATCCCCCGATGCACTTCGCATACATACTAATTCTTCCAAGTTGTTTCACATTGTGATCTTGCATTTGAAAGCCCTATTTGAGTTATATGCATTGTGGCCAGCAGTCTTTGATGGCACGGTACGGTAGGGGATAGGGACGGGACAGGAACGATCGAGGGTAATACGACACCGTCTCCCGTACCGTACCGTACCATCAAACACAGCTGGCCACATACAGCTTCCCGCAATATTCAAATAGGGCTTTCAAACGCAAGATAATAACGTAACGCAACTTGGAAGAATGGGTATGAATGCGAAGTGTATGGGGGAATGCATGTAGGGCGATAGTGCGGGTTCGAATCCCAGGATATGCCTGAAAAAAAGGAGAATTGAAAAATTTATAACATCCTATGCTTTTTTGCCGTCAGATACGGATAGCGCCAGGCGTGACACAAACAAACACACAAACAAACACCAAATTAAAGCTGTGTGGACCCTGGCTAGCGCCAGACGTTACTGAAGTAACGTCTTCTGCATAGCTACGGGAATAAAAATTTCCAATCAGGCCCGAACGTACCTTGCCAGAGTGCTCAAACTGACAAGTCAGTGAGCTCTGCATAACGCAAACAGCAAAGGCACTACCCCACGCAAGAGTGCTCAACTGCTACAAGAGCAGGAGCGAAATACTCAATCTGCGGACAGAACTGTTTCGTCCTTTGTGGACTCGTCAGCGCAGCACAGAGGAAATGAGGCCGAACCTGATAGCAATGGAAATAAAAATTTCCAATCAGGCCCGAACGTACCTTGCCAGAGTGCTCAAACTGACAAGTCAGTGAGCTCTGCATAACGCAAACAGCAAAGGCACTACCCCACGCAAGAGTGCTCAACTGCTACAAGAGCAGGAGCGAAATACTCAATCTGCGGACAGAACTGTTTCGTCCTTTGTGGACTCGTCAGCGCAGCACAGAGGAAATGAGGCCGAACCTGATAGCAATGGAAATAAAAATTTCCAATCAGGCCCGAACGTACCTTGCCAGAGTGCTCAAACTGACAAGTCAGTGAGTTCTGCATAACGCAACACAGCAAAGGCACTACCCCACGCAAGAGTGCTCAACTGCTACAAGAGCAGGAGCGAAATATATGGCTTTTACAGTATATCAATCTTTGCCAGCTGTACACAAGTGCAGAATGTTTTTTCTTGGAGACTGTACCAGGACAAACTACTAGAAATTACAAGTAGTAGAATAGCTCAGTTGTTTTGGAAATATAATTTCAGTTACAGCTGTATGCCTGAATGTTTAGACCGCTCAAGTAAATGCGCGGATCCACGAAAATTTCTGCAAATGACATTGGTCAGAGCCCAAAGAACCAGGGAGTGCTGGGTAACCATGGTAACGCTGGCCAAGAAACACATGTGCTGCATGGACACCCAGTGCAAGCGTCGTAGATTGCTCATGCGCGGAGCAATGCATCATGAAAAAAATGACTTCCAACTTTAAAAAAATCTGTCGGGATAGCATCGCATGCGGGAGTTGCACACTATTGGGGGCTGTGTACGCTTGATAAGATCAAGACCATGTTGCCTTCGCTTGATACACCGGCACCTCTGTCACATTCTGGCAAACGAAATCCTACATTCGTCATTGGGCCAGCGCCCCCAGTGCACTTCAAAATGTAAATACGGTGTACAGAACGTAAACTACAAAGCGATCAAGGGCATCATCATAAGCAGGTCCATGGTCACAGTCATGTCATGGGTGGATGAGCGCTGGTACACACAGAAAGTATTCGGATCCGGCACCCAACTCCGCTGTGTTGTTGTGGTTGTGCTTTTATTTATAGTCATTCCACCTAGCAGGCAAAGGTGCTCTCTCACAGGAAGACGAGAGAAGACAAAAATGACTGGAGGGGGGGGGGAGAGAAAAGGAAAAAGGAGAAAGAACAGGCACAGAAGCTTGAGGAGAGATGCCTGGGGTGCTATCTTGTAGAAACTATGGACCAAGGCTTTGCATATTTCATGTGAATACTTTCAATACAGTGATGCCAAGCACATTCATGTTCATTGCGCACTAACCATTGCTGTTTGGGGGATTTTTGCATGGATTTGCGTATTCGATTTTGGTGGTCCAAATATCAAGGAATACTGTGACAACTGAACTGTATTTCCAAATCAACTACATGTACCAGTAAACAATAGTAGTGCAATACTTTGGAACTACATGTACTGTATATCACCTTATTTTCGGTGTTGTAAAATTTCGGTAAAAGCCAACCCCTGACCTTTCGGTGTAAGGATAAATCTCCGCGCCGGCGCCGCCAGGGCCAAAATGCTCCACATAATATCAAGAGTACATAACCCCCCAGAGTGTGCAACGCCTGATCCAGCTGTGCATAGGGTCTTGGTCGAGCGGAATCGGATCTTTGCGTCATAATACCGTACAAATCTGAGGGGAACCCGGGGAGCCGCGGGTACTCTTGGATCAAAAACAATGGTGCCCTGCCTCGAGACCGGCCTTGCACTGGTGTGGAGTGTACGCATGACATCAGAAGATCCGATTCCGCTCGACCAAGACCCTATGCAGAGCTGGATCGGGGTTGCACACTCTGGGGGGTTATGTACTCTTGATAATATGTATACCGGTACATGTTATGTATGTACAATGTACTACCGGTATACCAGTATACAAGTATTAGTTGATTTTTTAATTTGACAGTGATTTTCATGATTTTTACATATTTTGGTATTTCGGAAAATTTAGGTGTAATGTTAAATTAGGTGTTATACAGTATGTTTGCCCTCTGTATAACAACTGACAAACAATGGCATGGGCATAGCTGCATTGTAGTTCACAGTGTATTGGACACGATTCAACCATCAATTCCCCAAATTTCATCTTACCGCATACATTTCCATTCTGCGAGATATAGCGTACCAGGCTCCTACTGCGTACAGAGCTTGACGTTTTTCGTTAAAGAAATACAGACGTGTATGATAACTAGGGTGTGTCACCTGTGCATTGGCATAATCTTGTGAGACTGGTCTTTGTTTGCTGCAGCGGAGTTCCTCTTTCTGCTGGCGGGCTGCATTGTCACGCAGCTAACCCGGCGCCTTGTCCTGGAGTGGACTGAGTTCAAGTTCCTGCTGGGCGCCTTTGCCAATGCGGCCGTCATCAAAGGTCTGATCGCCGTCTTCTACTTCACCCTGATGCCCAACAAGTACTCTGACTACCTCTACCTGCTGCAGTTCTTTGACAACTTCTTCACCGTCAACCTGTCGCTCATCATCTTGTTTGGCCACAAGGTTAGCTGGCGTGTTAGGAGGAGAATTTGTGTTGTTTTCCTGCTGCTGTGGCGTGCTCTCAACCGAGCTGTTCATACCCTGCAATGCTGCCATATCACCGGGCATGTAGTCGTGATGGCGGTGTGACACTTTTGTTCCTCCCCTCTCCTTTCCGGCTTGTGACAGTCCACCTGCGTGTTTCGTAATTAGGAACTGTCCACCATTATCTGCCCAATTTGGCAATGACAGCTATGTCTAAGGCCACACGTTTTTTATATCTATGTTTCTCGTCACCCGCGCGCATACGATTCAGGAGTCTGGAGGAAAAAAAGGAAAAAAATGTGCTGCACTGACTGTGCATGTGGGGACCAGCACACTCATGCACATGTACATAATGTGGCCTGGCCTGCGCGACACATGATGCGAGGTCACCATTTTATTGTGCGCAATCTAGCTGCACATGCACAGATTGTGACAGAAGCTCCTACCACATACTACCGTTAAAGTCTGTAAATAAGTACCTCCCCGAAAGAAATACCCCCTTCATTCTTTTGGCTCTGTCTGTTGAAGTCAAGTCAAGCCCGATAAACATACTGCCCGAAATAAGTACCGGTACGATGCGCCCATGCAGCACGTAGCATGTACATCTACATGAAAACGATAGTTGCTAACTATGGATGCTATTTTGCATGGTGTATTGGTGGATTTTAGTGTGAACAAAGGTCTAATAAACTTTTTTTTTGGTCATTTTTTCCACCTCTCGCGTACGTTTTTAGATTTTCAGGTGACGAGAAACATAGAAATAAAAACGTGTGGCCTAATGTGTTGAGCGCATCCTGGCGATTTGAAGTATATGAAGTATATCTATTCTTACTGTAATATTTTAGCGCTACTTACACCACAACCATGTCGAATGTTAGGCTGTTCACTGGTTTGGACGGCCACTGCGCACAGGAACACTAGTGAATAGCATTGTGCTGATGATCTCCTCTGCTCATGTTTAGGTGTACATGATTCTGCGTCACAAGGATGATCGTGCAATCGGCCCGACGGTTCCCACCAAATTATCGCGCAAGGAGTCAAGCCAAGACATGACCTCCATGCAGGAGGTGGCACTCCAGCAGATTGCTGAATCTGACCCCAACAATAAGCGTCCAGCCCTCAGCTTTGGCGTGCTTGACATCATGTGCGGCTGTTTCTACGGCTCGCTGAATTCCGTAAGTCATCCCCTTGTTTATAATTGTTTTTATTTTCAATTCAGGGCGGATGGCACTACAACTTCACCGTTATACTCAGTTTGCCATGGTGGCATTGTTATTGTTTCTTCACATTACTTCCCGACTGTATGTCGTGTGTATGTGTGTTGTGCTGAGATACACAACACCTAGTCTTACAGTGGAGATCTACAGTCGTGCACAGGTGGTGGTGCACATACGGGTACTTGGACCGTCCTGAAACATCATATTTACATTATAGCGGAGTGGGTTGTTCTGAATTAATAGGGGGACGGTTTCGGGATACGGTAATGCCCCAATCCCAGTGTGGACGGATGAGAGACGTTCTCACGTGTGTGTACACTCTGAGTTATAGTAGTGTGCTGTATTCAACCGTAGTGTTCGCCGCCCCCGGGGTTGGAAAGTGCTCTGACCATGTGAGCGTGTGTACGTGTACAACTTGGCGCGAGCTGCGACTTCAGTTCCTAGCTGTATGCTGGGTGTATGCCGGGTGCCGTCTCGAAAGTGGAGTACACTGTACTAGTGTCGCAGTACATGTAACTGGGTTACTGGTGTGTGATCAAGGCTGATTCCCCATGTAACTAGGTTAGTAGTGTGTGATCAAGGCTGATTCCCCATGTAACTGGGTTAGTAGTGTGTGATCAAGGCTGATTCCCCATCATATTGGCTACTGTCCTGTGTAAGAAGTTGATGTGCTCTTCATCCACCCTGCAGGAATGGACAAACGACTACTATGGTGCCAAAGAGAAAAGGAAGGGCGCTGGCAGCCAAATGGTTTCCCAGGGCGAAGAGACAATCAGCACACCTGATACAAGTGCAACAACTAATAAAGACAACAACAACAACAGTAGTAAGGAAGGCTCTGATGACAATGGCCTGCCTTATATGGGTGACCCCAACTGAGTTTGGCATAGTGTTTGCCTCGCTTTCAAATTAGACTTCTTATCTTAAAATGTTCTCTTCTTGAGAATTTCCCGCTTGTTGGTCGTTTGCGCTAAGAGTGTGCTTACGGCCATCTTGCCAGCATAGGCATAATGATGGTTTTAATTTATTTTCTCTACTGTGGGATTCTCTCTCTATCTTTCTCTCTCCTCTCCCACATGCTTATTTAGCAATGCTGTCACCCATGCATGTGTACATAGAGTGTCCTTATTTTTTTTCCTAATTGGCCATTTCCCTGGACTTGTGAATCGACAACATAATGTGTTACTGTCCCTGTCCGTGCCCGAGTCTTTCTCATCCCTGTTCCTACTAGTAGGGCAAAGTGTTTGTACATACCGGTAGAGGCTATCATCATGTGCTCTTCACGTCAGGTGTTCTTTTCTTTTTAATTCACACGCAGTCTAGTCTCCCCTAGTTATACTGTGATCGATATTGTACCGGTGCTCACATTTTCTCCTTTTCTGTTGTCTTTCTCGGCATTGTGTTGCGGAGCTTCCTGTGGTCATTCCCTCAGTTCTTCTTTCTCTGTCAATGATTGGAATGGTGCCATGTTTGTTTGTCCTTCTCAAGTACTATGCTTGCATCGTTGAGCTAGAGCTGCACAATGTAGTTTTGTCGTAATCATTATGCAGCTCCAACTGTTTGTGCTTGCGCATACGAGCATGATGATTGTGTTGTTTGTGCGATGGTCTTCGCTCTGGTTGTACAAATAGTTATTTTGCTTCGGCTGTGCTTATGATCACATTATTAATCTTTTTTATTCTTATTTTGTTTTGGTCTCGAACGGCCTGTTTCATGGGCAAAATAGACTCAACCGATGTGAAAAATAAAGGTCCACCCTTCGTCGACAGGCCAATCAGCTGCAGAATACATGCACTAACACTGGTTGTGAAAGCAGCGCATGTACTCGTGTGCACCTATCTACCCTTGTGCTCAGTGAAATCCCATCCAGCGTGTCTATTTGGCTGTCCCCCATGAATTCCGCGGATTGCAGAATCCAGTGGTGTCCGCAGAATTCAGAAAATCCCGCGGAATATTGCAGAAAAGAGAGAAAAACTGCTTTTTCTGGAGACTTTTGATGTATTCACAGCCAAACCAACCCGCTTGTGACTTTCAAAATCAACTCGCAGGGTACATTTTGGAGCTTTCAATTTTTTAGACCAGGATTTCGCATAATTTCGGTTCACAATTTGTAGGGACAACAAACTTCGGTGGTGTTGCGGAAATTCAATCTGTTTTTACGCTCATTTCCCTTGCAGAATTTGGAAGGATTTGCAGAATTTACTGTTTTCAGCCGCAGAATTCTGCACGGAATTTCTGATATTCTGCCGCGGAATTCACGGGGGACAGATTTGGCGCCCTCAACTAGAAGTGGCACAAAATCCATCTCAAATGCGGCTGAATGTACACATGTACGAATATAATGATGTAATCGGAACTTAAGGGTGAAACAACTGAGTCGATAGAAGGAAAACCCTTATCAACTCGCATTATGTTTAAAAATTACATGTATAAAAGCCGAGAAGTGCATTTAGGTCTTGCATAAGGAAGGTGCGAAACACATTTAGCATGGGTCTGTTTGAATGTTGAAACCTACAATGTGCTCATAGTGTGCTTCTGTTTGCTTTAATATGCATGGATGTGTGACCATGCATGTGCATGTACGTGTGCGTAAACGTGCTGTGCTTGTGTTCATGTGCGAGGGCAATGTCAGTCGATAACGAGACGATAGGATTGGATCTAGTCGATAAGGAATTTGGGTCAGTCGTTTCACCCCTACTTAAAATAGTCCAGGGCGCCAGCTTTGCACTTCGGGTCGATTTCACCGAGCCACTTTTCTTTTTAACACAATGCCAAAAGTGCCCAGAATGCAGGATTTTGCACCCTAATTTCAAAATGTTCACCCCTCCGGGCGGACCACCTCCAACGGCGGTGTTACACGCCTGTAGAAGCCTGTCTCATAGAGTCATATAGAAGCCTGCAAAATTTCCCCAAAAAGTCATAATTAGAAGCCGCGGCCTTTATAGTTTATACATGACTTTACGGTAGGCACGGTCAAATCCACATTTTGTCAGATGCCCGCAGGAGGTGAAATGTGACCGTTAAGTGAGTCCTCAGTTAACTGGTACCGGGTGGCGGCCGGCCAGAGTCCCCCCCCCCCCCCGTGAGTATACAGTGTTACCATGGTGATACCGTAGTGACATGGAAATGAGCAGCTTTCGCATCAAACCCGTACCCAAAAGCCGCAAAGGCAAAGGGCCGAACAAACAGGGTTCAAGATTACCGTACTCTCATACGACAATACTATCGTATGACCTCTTTGGCTCATAACTGTGAAGGTCGGTAACTTCGGTGCTGACAATTTGTACCTAAAATAAAACGCAACCGAAAATTTCGGTACTAGACCGGTACTAGCGAGAATATAATCCCCCACAAGTGCGCAACTCCTGATACCCTTTCTATGGAGTACGCCGATGGCGAAAACATCACGTGGTGTAGTGTGGCAGTTGTACATTTCCAGCCAGTTATTAGCGACCAGCGGAGTAATAAAAAAGCACTCTCTGACAGAAACTCACTGCGTGTATGAAATCCCCCCGCATAATCATGGCAGATATTCGGATTGCGCGCATGCTATCCTTCGTTTGTACGTAGTACGTAACGTACCTGAGACACATGATATGAGTTTTCGCCGTCGGAGACCCCATATGCAGAGTTGCACACTCTTGCCTAGTCTTGGGGGGTTATAATACTCTTGGTAGTAGTAAACTTCTTGGAAAATGGGCCTACCGAAAATTTCCCTCCACCGAACCGCCGATTTTGGAGGATACCGAAAAAATTACACCACCGAATATTTCTGCGTTTACAGTACATGTACTATGGTTTCCTTTTCCATTTTCCATGCTTTTGCGTATTTGAGAGGATTGACACACCGACCCAATGTAGATTGCGATCTGTTCCTGGGGAAAGCCGCGGAAGAAGAGAAAAACTCTAATTTCGCGGTACAATTTGCGGAAATCGTGGATTCACAAGAAATTGTGAAAATCGTGGAAAATTTGCATCCGTGGAATCGCGATTTCCCCGTGGGACAGTTTAGTAGATCACTCAGCCAGTGCTGTGGTATTCCTTGTGCCTTGTCAACCCCCCCCCCCCCCCTCCCCTCTTTGTTCTGGTCCTATTCCATTCCTGCTGGCCCCTCTCTCCTACGTCTGTATCCAGCAAGTGCAAACATCATGTGGATTGCCGGGTACACATGCACACGAGCCCAGTGTACAAGTGCCACAGAAGTGCTTATACAAAGTCACTGTTACGACAACGTAATGGAATAATAGCAAGCAGATAGAGATAGAGAGGAAGAAGGAAAGAGAGATAGAGAGAGAATAGCCATTATAACGTTACTCAACTGAGATGAAAATAAGATCCATCCGTTTCTACTTGGGAAAGCCATTGAGAAATGAAATTATTCGAAGCTTTGTGAAATTGTTGGACCAACGCAGTACCAGTGCGCCTACAGTTCGATGGAAGAGAGTTCACAACAGGAGCAGGCAAACACTGGAGTACTGACAGTCTGATCATGGTCTGCCTCGTCACCCAGCACACTGCCAGCCAATTGCAGATTGACACACACTCACTGCATGGCAACAGTGGTAAGTATGTTCCCGCAGGGATGCCATAGCATCCGCGCGTGTGTGTGCGTGTGTGTGTGTGTGTGTGTGTGTGTGTGTGTGTGTGTGTGTGTATGTGAATTTGTGTATGTGCCGACGACCGCTCTACTGCACCTTCTTGGCGGCGGCGGCCTTCTCCCAGTAATTGGCACCACCGCTGGCTCGATGGGCCATAAGAGCCAGCGACAGCAGCATGGAAGCACCCACTGCAGCCATTCCTGCCATCTTGAGTGGTGCAGGGAAGAAAACTGCATGACAGCACCAAGAAAAAAGAAGAAGTGAACAGCCAAAGCCTGCACTACGGCTTCATGTGTTTCAATCAGTACTCGCATAAGCGAAAACAGGCTGGGTTTTTTTCTCCAGAAATCAATTCATTTCCAAAAGGTGGTGAATTCACCTTACCTCTGAAAGGGGTCATCCAGCATCATCGATAATTTTCACGGAACGAAAAAGTTTAGTTATGACCCCCCCCCCCCCCCTGCTCCGAACCAAAAATATTGTAATTTGACAGCTAACTTAGAATGGATTGATGTTTCTGCTATCAATATAATGAAATATTATTTCAAAACGAAACTCTCCTCTGACCACCCACATATAAACAAAATGTATCCGTTTCGAGTAAAAGATCGATAACTATAGGTGATTCCTTTAAGAAAAAAGAACAGCCAATGGGTACGTGCGTGTGTGTGTGTCGGTGTGTGAATACTGACAGACTGCTGTACGAGTGCACTGGATGTTCACCACCAGCCTATTCTACCCAGGTAGGGTCGACCATGCTTCCTGTGACAAGTGATCACGACCGACAGCATGCACACCTAGTACGGCACTGCGCGGTACCCGGGTACGGTCCCCCCCCCCCCCCCCAGTCTGAATGGACGGTGGTGATGGATCAGGGAGTCGTAAAATACCGGTATTTTACGACTCCCTGGCCAGAATGGACGGTGATGGTCACCCAGTATCTGTACCTATTGCTACCTAACATTCCTTCCTAGCCGACGGCAAGAGTACATGACCCCAAAGAGTGTGCAACAGCCAGCCTGCCCAATCTCTATGCAGTTCTGCGATAGCAGAACTTCACATCACATGACATGGTTCAAAAGGTTATGCTGGCAAACAGTGCAAAGTGACCACAAGAGAGTTGTACCCAAAGCTGCGTACAACCCTGTATCTATCATGCACAGAGTGCAAATGATGTGTACGGGTTCATCATGCGATGTGAAGTTCTGCCGTCGCAGACCCCATAGCTGGAGTTGCACACTCTTGGGGGTTATGTACTCTTGCCGACGGTATCGGTATGAGACCGGCACGGTAAAGAGTGAGTAGCCAGCTACTTACAGGTGGACACCATGCCTATCGCAGTGGGATGTGTGTTGAGCAGTAGCACCACCGCACAGCGAAGCACCTCAATGCCAAGCGCGTACGACCTGCAGGACACAGTTAGACATGCATGCACACAATACATCCATCACTCTGAGCATGCGTCATGCATGCACACAATACATCCATCACTCTGAGCATGCGTCATGCATGCACACGATACATCCATCACTCTGAGCATGCGTCATGCATGCACACAATACATCCATCACTCTGAGCATGCTTCATGCATGCACACACGATACATCCATCACTCTGAGCATGCGTCATGCATGCACACAATACATCCATCACTCTGAGCATGCGTCATGCATGCACACGATACATCCATCACTCTGAGCATGCGTCATGCATGCACACAATACATCCATCACTCTGAGCATGCGTCATGCATGCACACAATACATCCATCACTCTGAGCATGCGTCATGCATGCACACAATACATCCATCACTCTGAGCATGCGTCATGCATGCATGCACACAATACATCCATCACTCTGAGCATGCGTCGCCATGCATGTGCATACTACACCAGTGAGGACGAGTCCACAGACACATTCCTATGGGTGAATGCTAAATTGCTAATACAGCACAGGCATTGCAATCCTGCACTACAGTCCTGTCGGACGTCGAAGAACGGAGCGCCCAAGAGAACGAACCGGCTAGGATTTCACCCAGCACAGCCCACCGGCATATACGCCTGTGACTCAACTGTGCATAGACTTGTACATGAAAAATAAAAATAAAACGGCTTAGGCTGGGCTGCGACAGTTTGACCGCCGGTTCTTCGGCGTCCAGCGGTACTGTACAGCACTTACTAGTAGCACAGGCATGGTGTCAACTTCTTGACAGCGGTCTAGTCAGCGGTCTAGTCAGCGGTCTAGTCAGCGGTCTAGTCAGCGGTCTAGACAGCGGTCTAGTCAGCGGTCTAGACAGCGGTCTAGTCAGCGGTCTAGTCAGCGGTCTAGTCAGCGGTCTAGTCAGCGGTCTAGTCAGCGGTCTAGTCAGCGGTCTAGTCAGCGGTCTAGTCAGCGGTCTAGTCAGCGGTCTAGTCAGCGGTCTAGTCAGGCAGAACACGAGTATACTTATACAGGACACAGCCCAGGTGCAGGTCCGGCCCCGAGTACTTGTTCTTCTTCTTAAAAAAAACATTGCTTAAAAAATGACAGAAAGTCTTCCTGCTAACCATGACCATGGACAAAGAATGCCCTGCGATGTACACATGCGCCTGCGCACACAAACATGGAACATGGAACGACGTACTTATGATCTAGCATCATTCCCATGCATGTCAGAGTGAAGGTGACGTAGCTGACACCCAGCCACATCGGGAGAGTCGCAATACCCTGTACAGGACACCGGCACAGACAGAAATGACTCAACATCATACACGTAGTCACACACACACATGCACACATGTACCATACACATACATACACACATGCACTTGCACATGTACACACCTCAGACCTCAGACATGCCCATCGCGGAAGCGATGATAGCGAACAGCTATGTTAGACATAGCAACTTGTGCTGGGATTACACCATTCAACAGTTTGCAAGGCTGATGAATTGACCGCCACTATTTTTAGCCTGGCACACACACACACACACACACACACACACACACACACACACACACACACACACAAACACACAACACACACACACACACACACACTAGGGGTGAAACGATTAGTTCGAATATTCGAGTATTCGTTCGAAAATCTCAAACGAGCGAGTATTCGAAATTTTGCACTCGATCGTTTTTTTGTTTTTTTTTAGTACTGGCCTTTTATTTTTCAAAAACTTCTGTTGTACTGCTCATCGACTGGTACATGGTATGCATGCATTATTCGTGCCTTTGAGTCAGTATTTTATGACTTGGACAATGCGATCACCACGGCAATAACGTTATTTTGTTTTGAGATAATGAAAGTACTGGTGAAAATCGTTACTTTACGCTCTAGAGCGCTCTGTATAAGACGTTGGCGACTTTTGTTCTATGTTCAAAGATAATTTCTTCCGAATTGCTCGAGAACTCACAAATCTAGCACTTTTGAATTTCGATAAAAATACTCGAAATAATCGGATACTCGATCGAATATTATGAATGAGTGATCGATTGGTCAAAATAGATACTCGTTTCACCCCTAACACACACACAAGTGAATTCAACACTCTTCAACGCTGTAAGACCTTCTCCGACAGCCTGTTCTGCATGTAACAGCACTCAAACTTCAATTTGCTTCTTGTCACAGAAGCACATTGCCAATACCCCCCCCCCCCCCCCCCCCAGCCCTGAAAACAAATACAATGGAACCCACTTTTAAAACAACAAGCATACACCCAGGGGAATTGTCGCACCAACCTCTTCTTCACAAGCATACACCCATGCAATGAAATTAGGGATAACATAAAAGAATATTCAGATGAGAATAGATGTTGGATTGTCCTACACTGGACAAACATTTCGGTCTACACGAAATTCTGATACAAATGAGCTGACGCGTCACTCACAGCACATTCTCGACGCGAGTCTATCCTTATTCTACCGTTGCAGGTAGCTCAACCAATTCGAGTAGGTTATTATATTTTTGTTCAGCTAAAATTGGTAGCTCTATCATGGTCTTACTATCTCTACCAAAGTCAGGAGCTGGCACAGTATAACTTGTTTATAACTTGTTGACCGCGAAAATGAGTATTCAACCTAACCGTGGAGTCAATCAGCCGGCTTGAAACTGCCGACTTTCCACGGCAAAATCGGTGGGTCTGCCTCACTCAGTGGATGCAGTGTGGGACGAGCGCAGTGAAGTATTCAAAGCCACCTTACCTTGTCCATCAGCGAAAAGTAGGGCGGCATGAGAAGCACATACTGCACCACCAGGTATCCAAGCAGAAGAGTCGGCAAAGACCTGTTGAAGACCTTCACTGGATACTGCACCTGTGAAAGGTAGAGATTACAGGTAGAGATTACAGGTAGAGATTACAGCATGCACACAGGCAACAGAACAAACACAGTATCGCCAGCTTTCCTCGTGTTGGATTTCCCCCGAGCTATTGTGAAGCAGTTTATGGTAAATAAGTTCAGAGAAGGAGAAAGGTAGCAAGAGGCAACACAAAGCAGTACAGTCAAGATCACAGCCTACAGATCAATCACCAAGGGACGCGAGCACACGCACAGCACTGCTATGCGGCCTATGAGCATTTTCGGGTTTTGACGGGCACAGCAGCTGGTGAGAGCAGTGCAAAGCGGACCATGCTGCAGCGTGATAACTACAACATTGGGGAGCTACGTCATCTGACAGTAAGCAACCAGCCAGCAGAAGGTTTACCTCTGGAATAGGCACAACCTCTTCCCCGGGTGGCGTCCATCCCGGACCACGGAACAGAATTTGCAGCTGCGGGTACAGCACACAGACACAGACACACACACAAAATACAATGTTTCAGGCACAAACGAAGTGGTTCAGGTCGAGGGAGAGCTGATGTGACGCTCTTCGAAAGTATGAACCGGAACCATGCGCACAACAGCAGCACATATCCAAACGGCCTGGGAAGTCTCCGGAGATAGGTCAAGCAGAATGTCGCACGCACAACTGACTTGAAAGCGTCACTTCATGCAATAGATGTAATGCACCCATTGCATTTGGCAGGCTCGGCTCCTTCCCACTTGAAGTAGAATTAAACAAACACACATTGACAATTTCAAGCGTCTGTACGTATACAGTTTGAAGTACACGTTAGTTCATAAGGCAGGAATTACTTTGTTTTGTTGTAACTCTGAGTTTCATGGCAATACCATATATGTTACCTGTGTAACCGATCACAACGGGTATCAGTAAACGGGACGTTGTCCGAGTCAAAGCCTGTCACGTCTGGAGTGCCTCAAGGTTCAATCCTGGGGCCTCTTCTATTCATCGTCTATGTGAATGACCTCCCATACGAGATTCCTGATGTGTCCCTGTTAGCGGATGACACTGCTGCCCCTGCCTCGTCGTCGACCTACTCCAGCCTCTACCCCATTGTTCAGGAGAAGATATCCGCCACTACAAATTGGATGCGGAAGTGGTTTCTACGCCCAAACATAGATAAAACAGAACTCCTATTCTTTCCATCTCTTCCCGATCCCCTTCCCACCTTCCGTTTCCCCGATTCACCCCCTGCTTCATCATTAACTATTACATCTAGCCATAAGCATCTTGGCATTGTATTCGATTCTTCTCTATCTTGGTCCGCCCACACTGACCACGTTTTGTCCCGTGTTTCACGTACTGTAGGCATCATGACGTCCCATTTCTCTCACTTACTCACCAGTTGTAAGGTATGTTTTTATAAATCTTACATTCTTCCACTCTTTCTTTATGGATACCCTGCTTGGTCTACCATTACGAAGTCCCAACTGGAGAGGTTGGAAATTCTCAACCGCCGTATCCTCCGCATGATATTTAGAACTGGCCGCTACATTTCAAACTCGGACTTGTACAAAATTGCAACCTGTGTCCCCCTGCAGAGTTATCTCGATGTGCTGTCTTGTGTACGCAATGTACCTTGGCATATTCCCCCCGCACCTATAGCAACTTAATTGGTTTGTTTCGAACTCCCCCACATGTAGTAAAGTCCATCTCCCCCGAGCTACCACATCTCTGTTTGCATCTTCCCCCTTTTTTAGCTCTTATACTAAATGGCTGGCGTTGCCTCTTCATGTCCGTCAGGCAAAGTCGCTTCCCTCATTTCGCAATCTTGCAAAGCAGCATTTCAACATTCCCATTCAATAGTCAATATACCTGTTTAGTCTCGGTCGTCTCACGTCGGCTGTACTGCTCCCTTTCCTCTGTTATTTACCATGGTATTGGTGCACCACCACACTTCTTATACAGTCGTCCCTCTCTAATCCGGCACCTTTTGCAGCGGCATTTTCTGCTGGATAAACAAGGGTGCTGGATTATCAAATCCTGCCCTCCAACCCGGCCCACCTATTAACATACATGTTTGTGTTGTACGTCAAAACGCAGGGATTTTCTGTTTCCATCTAAGTACTTGGAATGCATGTCTATACAGTGCATAGGATATTCCCAAGTGTATGTTACATGTGTAGAATGCTCCCTGATAAGTTAGTTCATGCACGTCATGCACTAACCAAGCTGACATAGCTGTGCACGGCCGTACGGTATGCGATGTACAACTGCTGGATTATAAAATCGAATTATGTACAGTTTGAGCGATTCGTTGCAGAAAATCGCTGCTGGAGGCGGAATTCAAGTGCCGGATTAAAGAGTAGGAAATGAACTGCAAAAATCCGTTTCGCCAGAAAGTGTGCTGGTTTGCAAGGGTGCTGGATAAACAAGTGCCGGATTAGAGAGAGACGACTGTACTCTCTTTCTACGCCATGGCTGGCAAACGCCCCCTCCTCATCTATATTGGCACTGATTCATCTTTAGCCACTGGAAGGTGTAATAATAATAATAATAATAATAATGACTGGTTTGAGGGAAAGAGACAAACGGGAAAAGTCTGAAGAAAAAATTGACTGTCACCACCAGGACCCTCGCTTGTAGCCAGCGATGCTCTAACCACTGAGCTATGGTGTAGTCGTCATCCCAGCAGAGGCCGTTCAACATTTTCTATAATAATAATAATAATAATAATAATAATAATAATAATAATTGAACCAATCATCAGACAACATAATAAACGGCAACTCCGCTTTACACTTTGAAGTGCATGCATGTATGAACAAAATTTATCCAGCCACATTACGTTCACACTAGCTGACTAGCAGACAGTAGCGCTAGCAGACAACTACATCATACGACATTGCACAGCACAATGTACACATTTTCAGAATTTTCAGGTCATTTCCCTGGTTCCTGTTGTTACCAGGAAAGGTGTGTTTCCATATTTGGGCATCCTATACGGTATATTGGGGTGCTTAGCATTCCTCAGGAGTTTCTCCCCGCTCTCGAGCTCACCTTGCAGCAGCAAAACACCTGTCAAGATCCTATGTGGGCTCCCAAAGTAAAACCATAACGCGCACAGCTACAACAATGCTGGCACTTAGCACACATCTCGAACATTACTCATGCTTTACCTTGATGCTGAGGCCTTTAGCATTCCATGCTTTGGTCAAGATGTACTGGTAGTAGTGGAACTGAGCCAAAGCAGAAACAGACAGGTGAACAGCAATGAACTCCTGGACTATTTACACCAGCGACACAGCAGTGAACACCATGGACCATTGGCTTGCCCAGGTGTTAGTTAACACATGACAACGTCACGTGTTGCTAGGCATTTACTAGTGCTCACCTGTGCAGCGATGGGATCCCAGACGTCCAGCGGATAGACCAGGCCATAGGCCACGTTCCTCTCCTTGGGCTCTGGTTCAAACGTGCCTGACCGTGTCAACCACCAAACGTGTATCAACAACAGCAGTACAGCATACACACGTTACGCGGTGAGAACAATGAATCACAAATTCAGCATCAACAGGATCAACAGGATCAACAGGATTGCCTGCAGATAACAGCACAAAACTACAAATAGCGACTCTGGCGGCAATACTACAGTACAGTACTGCAGTGCAAGCAGTGGACAATGAAAGTCGACCGCCTCATGCATATACATATACAGCAGCTCGGGGAGTGTGCATGGTTTGTCCTGCATTACGTTGGGCAGCACGCTGGAAAGATGATTGAGGTCTTTTCTGGTTTGAGATTCGAACCTACCAAACATGCGGTCCCAGATGATGAAGACGGCGGCTAGAACACACAGAGCAGCAACGCACCATGACAGACACAGTCAGTTGATTCCAATGCATAGACAATGTGCAGAGATCTCTACAGAAGGTTTCCAGCTTAGCCAAAACTGAATACTAGTAGCTGATACAGGTACGTGCTGATACAGGTACGTGCTGATACATGCATATGGTTTGCAGCAGTACATTTGCGAAACTTAGGTGGTTCCACGGAACTCCTGCTGGATCCACCACAGCAGTAAGCGGCCAGCCAGCAATGCATAAGCGGCCAGCCAGCAATGCAATCTCTGGCCGTAAACGTCTTGTGTACAAGGAGTTCTCCACTCCCCAGTGTGTGTAGTCCCATACCATAGTTCTTGTCCAAGCACTTCTCATTCCGACCTGTTACCAAGTAAGCGGCACAAAAGAAGAAAAAGAAAAGCTTGAGACATGTAGACCAAGTTCACTAAGGTGGTAGGAGAGAGAGAAAGCTAGAAGAGAGGGAGAGGGAGAGAGAGAGAGACAGAGAGACAGGCGGAGAGAGGGAGGGAGAGGGCACCAAACATGGCAATACCGCACTTGAATTGAGCACAACCTCCATGACGTGCTGAACTCCATTCCACATGCCGGTATGCTATGAGTAAATGAATAAAATGTGCTATGACACTGACTGCTACATGTATTGTACTGACCATGATGGACACGATGATGGCTTGGTGTATTCAGTATCCACTCTAGTGGACCCAGGTTATCAACAAGCTAGCAACAACAAATCAACAACAAACACAAACAACACTGAAGCAGCACTACCATATAAATCTCCAACGTATTAAACTATTAATGTTAGTCATTTTTGTCCAGACTAAACTTTTTCCATTTCCATCGAACACAGATGCATGACAGCTAGATATCTGCACCCCGTCGCCTACTTACTCGGGAGAAACGCACCTACCCACGGGCAAAAAAAGTGCCAGAACTTCACTCCGGTATTAAAGCTCCCCTCAGTTCAATGTGGCTTAGAGGACATTAGCTGCGCAGTGTAAGGTGGCAGCTGGCAGTGGAAGGGGGTCAGCTGTACGAGCGTGGCCATACCTCAGTGTGAATCCAGAACTGGTAGATGAGATTGAACTGGCCGTGGATTTTGAAGATGGGTGCCGGTATGACCAGCGCCAGGGGCATGTAGAATACCTGCAGTACATGTACAGCATCATGTCACGGTCATGTGTAGCAAGAAACAGCCAATACAATGTCATGTACTAATAGACAGGTGGGTCATTCATGTCAGTGATCCCTATTATTTCCTAATTTCCCGTGTAGGCTCGTCAAGCCACTCTAATGCTAGGTCCAGTGGACTGAACAAAGATACACAATATAGGGATTGGCAATGCATTTGCGATCGAGGATGAATCAATGAACCAAAGGTACGACATTACCACGTCACAGTTGCGTCGGGACAGCGTGCATCAGACCTTTGAATGTGCCAATGCCAAATGGTGCACACAGATCTAGAAGGTTCTTGGCTAATGGGTAATGGCTTACCCAGAAAAAGAAGCCTTGGAACATTGATTGGCGCAAAGCAGTGGTAAGGTTATACGACTCCGAGCTGTGATGAACCTGATGTGCTGCCCACAGAAAGTTTATTTCTATGATCGTCACATACGCACGTGCATGCACATGCGCACAAATACACACACACACACACACACACACACACACACACACACAATACACACATGCACCAGACACAAACGAAAACGTAACCATACACATGCACAGAGAGAGAGAGAGAAAAATGGAGTGGTTTAGTTAGCATGACTGAAAGCCATGGAGTGGAGCAAGCAGAATACCATAATTCTGGCTGCTTCTTTTCCATAACATTGTCAACAGCACACTCGTACAATCATACCTTATAGGCATTAACAAATAAAAAAAGATGTGGTATGTACATTTGGAATTTCAACGATGCCCGAAAACCAGTACTAGTAAATATTTCAACATGGGCGCATGTACTGCAGTGGATCCTTTTGTACTGGTAGCTACTTCGACGACGATAGTAGAGGAAGCATGTGTTGCTCTCTACGCCTATGCCTCATATGCCTCAGTACGTGTTTGCACCTCCAAGAGCAACGCTGACTCATGCTGTTACGTGGAGTTAACAAGGCGTTTTCGAGCTGGAAACGGAGCCCCATTGTAGGTTGATACGTGGGGTGATGTTAAGCATGCTAGCTGCTATACATTTAGTGGTGCCAGCACAAAGTTCACTAGCCTACTCAAGCTTCGTAGATGAGGGCTGAATTCCTCCAAACACTGTGTATTGATAAGGTTGAAGGAGTTGACAGTGTATTGAGCAGGGAGTGGTGCTTTTTCTTGTAGGTTTGCCGAGTGCAAGGTTTGATGGACTTTACTAGTGTGCATAACCTAGCAAACACTTCGCAATGCTGCGGCAGCAGTTCAGCACTGCGTGCAGACAGTTACACGCAGACAAACTCTGAACTCTGAAGTACATGTCGTCATTACAGAAATTGGAAAAAAAAGATTTTGACCGAGCGGAAAAAAGTAGAGTCGGTCGGGATTCCTGAACTGCAAACCTTTTTTTAGTGCGGCTCTTTTTGGGTTCGACGAGTACTAAGAGTGAAATCTTGATCTACAGAAGCAAAGTGTTTATAGTCCTAATGCAAAGATACCTACCATGTCCAGCACGGTGCGCCCAGTAATAACCAAAATCATAACCAAGTATGCAGAGCCACCACAGCCAACGAGAGTCCCACGGCAAATCCACAAGATGATAGTGGTCGTAGACGTACTGGTACAAAGACAATTCAAACCCCAGGAGCAGAACTCTGTTCACACAGAAAAAAGGGTAGAAACAGCAAAGAAAACTCTTTGCTTCCTTCCTAGAGTCAAGCCTTTTAGTACAGGACCAGCACCAAGTGGCTGGTGGATCTCTCTGTGTGTCTGTCTGTGTGTCCGTCCGTCCGTCTGTCTCCCCCCCCCCTCTCTTCCTCCATTCTTTCGCTATCTCTCTCTTTCAGACCTTCAGCACCATTCACATACTCCACTCATCCACACTCCCTTTAATGTAGATCTATAATGTACATTGTAGACTGTACGACTCGTAAGCACTGGAGTACACTGCACGCTGCACATCGACTGTCGCTGTACCTGGTCATTTGCTGTATCATGCCAGAACCAATGGAGCTGAATGTGTCGTTGATCCTGGACGACCGCTTGCCAAGATACCGTGCAATGAGGTGCTCCACAAACATGAGAGTGAACCAGAATGGAACAGACTGCATTTCAACAAACCAGTTAAAAAAGCACCACCACAAAAGAACAGAACATGTCTACTTGTGTACAGCTCGTGCTTGGAGTACATGCAGCCACTGCTTGAACATCCCCCAGCGGCTTACACTGTCAAGTACAGTAACTTCAATACATGTGTTGTTGTTTTTCTCTTTCCAACAATTACCGACAGTGTGCTCAGGATCTGATCAACATAGTATTATATTGAAACATAGTCAGGGGCAGCGTCGGAAGGTATTTTAGGGTGGCACGGTCAGGCACCTGAAGTACAATCTACTTGGGGGGTTGGGGTGGCTCCTCTGAATTTTTTCCCAAATTTTTAGAGCACAAATCAGGTTAGTTTTTAATGGTTCACGGGGGGGTACCCGGGGCAAAGAGTGGTCCGGTCAATACCATAGTGCCCGCAGCGTGTCCGACACCCCTGTACTTGCACTGCAGGCTGACAGCATTACATGTGGTGTTGCCCATGCACTGGCATTACCGTACCGATACTACACGGGCCGGGCCAGCCTGATCTCTACATGTGATTGTCCGGCGACCTATATTATTGATATTGAACCAGTAAGTCGAGGCCCCAAGCGCTGGGGTCGACTTACCAGTGCAATGCGATACCTACAAGACATGTGTGTGTGCAGCACGATTGTGTATAACCACAGAGCGACATTGCCCTGGTATTCGTGAGAAGTGGGGAGTATATCTATCGCCACGTGGACTGGATGTTACCAGGTTACTGATGGTCCATCATGGAGATGGTTTCTAGGTCACATCGTAAGGCTAGCAATCATGCATGTCCTGACATGTCCTAGTACATGTACTGAATAGCGAGTACGCAGCAGTGTCATCACTGTGTGAGTGTATGTGTGGTGACATGCACTACCAATGTACCATCCATTCCTCCAACGCTAGCCGTGTACTAGTGTAGTAACCAGCTAACCTGGGTGACATAGTCAGGAATCTCTTTCAGAGTTTCATACGTCGACTCTGCCGGTGTAACCATGTAGAAGTTAGCACGGGGCACAATGCTCAAGTCCCAGGCATACGAGGCATATTGTAGCAGCGGAACGGACGTGTTGGGAGCCGCCATGACTGTGCTGAGCTAACAGCACACGGCCGAGTTAGCTTCTCGTCTGTAAACACGGAGTTAGCTGCCTGGTCACTCCCACTAAATACTCGTTCATCTGCAAAGACGCCAGTCCCCAGGAGTCGTCTAGACCTGACAATTGACATAAACATTAGGTGCCTTTCAGCCAAATGGTCGTGTCCTGATTTCGCAGACTGCGAAAGCAGTTGACCTTTCAAACACGGTATCCACTGCATTTCCATTGCAGTATAGACGACCTACTTCTCGTCCTAGGGCACTTGACAATCAGATGTCAAGTCTGTGGATAATAGGGAGGCCTTAGGCTTGCCTTCCAGGTGAAAACAAATCTATCAACACAAGAAAACTACATGACAAGTAAGTAAGTTATTATTAGTTAGACCTGAAAGGTGTAGAGGTAAAGACAAAGCGGATTTCGAGTTCGAATCCGGAAAGCTTGTGCCACGGCCTCGAAGGCCGCGCGAATGGATCACGTGGCAGGTTTTTTCGACGAGTCTGACGAGTGACGACACGATTGAAACATGAATATGAACGAAGCAGACTCACTCGATCGTACAGATCAGAACTCACTGAAGTCACATCAGTAGAAAACGTTCGAATCCAAGGATTTTCAATCAAGTGTTGACTGTTTGTGTTGTGGAGCTACAATCATTTCGTTTGCATGGTTTTGTAGACCACCTTCTAGCTCACAGGACTTCTTGTGTCCATGTAGCTTTCACCTACGAACATTATTATTATTTCCGGCAGTATAGTGGGACCAGGCTAGATAGGAGCACTGCCCCCCAGACCTGAAAATGAGCACTGAAATAGATCTTGGAGACCCTGCAGCTGATGGGTTCGGTACAGCTAACTCAGGAGCCACAGATAGCAGGTACGGTGAGAGTATTCAGTAAGCAAATGCTGCACGCCACTACACGCCCTGTAGCAAGTCCTGCAGTGCCAGAGAACGTGATTTCAGTTGATGAACTACATAAATTATAATTAAGTTGCATTTCTTCTGCCCTAGACCCTAGACATGAAATAGGAGCTATAAAGAGTTCATGGTCTCCAAAGGAGGGTTTCTTGAGGGCTGTTCCGGTTAGTAAAAGAAGAAATAACATAAGTACAATTTCCCTCCAGTGTCGCGAGTTGTGGTACTTTTTGGGATTAAGGGGGGATACACTGTACCCTTCGCCTCGGGCTATATTGTACATGTAAATAGAACATTGAGCGCCATCTAATACTCCCGGTTTGGCAGATGTGCATATTACAGTAACGGAGATTGAGTAATACAGTAACCTGTATACATTTAACGGCAAGAACCGTGGACAGTTGCATGCACTGCTCTACACATAAGCAGCCACTGTTCACAATGACATGCACGTGGGGTCACCATCATCAGCATCATCTAGTAGAATGGGTTGAAGCTGAACAGTGGTGACGTGTGCCCTGCTACACTGTACTGCATTGTCACAACTCTTGCATGCTAGCTTGGAGTCGTTCCACCACGGCAGCATTTGCGAGACCCTTCTCAGTCACGAAAGTTGACTCTCGTTGAACCTCTCCACGGAGTTCCACTGTTGGTACAGGCTGCAGTTGTTGTGGCCAAGTGGCGGCGCTCTTGGCAAGGAAGTTGAGACCGTGCCACCACTCTTCATCACTGGCCAATGCTTCCGCAATTAGCTCACGAGTGCCCTTGTTGGCCGGATTCTGCTTTCCCGGAACATGTCGCCACTAGGACGGCTTTGTGGCACTTTGCAGCTCAGATACTCGGTTGCCAATGTCCACCTTGACTCGGGCTGTGTGAACGGATCCGTCCCAGAACATTCATAGAGTCTCTCCAGAAGGTGTGTTTGGAAATTGGCGCATCCAACGCATCACCGACTTCGCTGCTGATTCTCAGTCCGAGCACTGCTCCACGAAGCTCCAGCTGTGGAATGGTCTGGCGACGGGTCGGAGCTGTCTTGGCATGGGCCATGGCGAGTGTCACTCGTACCGCACCAGACCTATCTTCAGCACGAATGTAGGTGCGTGGCTGCCGCAATAGCTCGGTCGGACGCGTCCGTGAAGGTATGGATGGATACGGATGATGATGTTGATGCCTTGAAGCTGCGCGGCGCTGCTAGTGCTGGCAGTTCGCCAAACCACGCCTTCCACTTGGTGACTACTGTTGACGTGAGGTCGTCATCCCAGGACAATTATCAGCACAGTCATGTTTCTAGACTCCTGAATGTTCATGTACTCTTGCTATGACGTGTGTGGTGTTGTTGTTACAGGTCTGGCACAGATGGAGACCATCTGACACAGCGCATCCAGGGAGAAGTGGCAAATCAAGTTGCCGGACAGGTAATAGAGAGGCAGGGTTCTAGCCAAGTCAAAATAGTAAGGGGGGGGGGGGGGGCATACATGGGAAACAGTTACCCTGTAACCCATTTTTCCATTTTCCCAAATTGTCTTGCCATGGAAAATGTAACGTACGGGGTGAACCCCCGACTTCATGACAGACAAATGTGCCTTTATGAACCCTCTGTTAGTGACTATCGACTGCATTTTTGTTGAATGGGACATTATCAGTGCTGCCAAATATTTTTCGCCCAAAATCGGACACCCTTCACCGCCAAGGCTGGCCACATGGTGCGAATTTTTCTCCTCAGAAATTTTTTTCCAGAGAATTCAAAATATCGCTCAAAATAGATGTACCATTAAAATTCGCTTTGTTGCCATAGTAACCGATATGGCACCCCGAAGTTGTCATGAATTTTGTAATGCACTGTGCCATCCAGGCATTTTACTTTAGCGTCAGCCTTTTTATAAGCACATGTACATTGATTTGTGCCTTGGCTTTAGTTGCGCTGAAAAGTGAAAATACAGGACTTCTGCATTGGGAATAACTGATCCCTGACATTTTGGCTGCTTTTCAGACCTTTCCTTTTTCGGACCGGTTTTCGGAAGAGCCTTCAAAAATCGGACGGTTTTGCAGCACTGCATTATGCATCAGTTTCCCGCCATTAGGTTTGCGGGGCAAGTCCACTACAACCGTACACACCTTGATACCAACTCTGCATAAAAAGGTCATGAACTTTGTGAGGTCATACTCTTAAATGCAGTGAGTATCGTTCATAAAGTGACCGGGTGTAACGATATACCGGCTATAATGATAGAACTTGACAAAATCAAAATCAAATCGCAAAAATACAGCTAAAATATCACTATACACACTATTATCGGCTATACCGATATATCGCTTATTGTGATGGGCTTCAGGAAGCAAACCATATCAAATGGACATGAAAATATCGCATATACCGTAAAGTACCGCCAGAGCGCCCCACCATCTCATCCTTTCGTGGTCGTTTTGTGGAGGTGGTCTGCTGTCTGTAGGTCATACGACATGAACCTTGTACACATATAGCACGTTTTGCAGTCAATCTGTACCTTCGAGCGGACACAAGCTCCACACAAAACCTGCCAAGTGTGACCTTAGTACACTAAGATTCTTACATCGTACAAACTTCGTTGCACTCTGCCATACGATTTTCCTTTCTCTGGCTGTAAAATCAAGGTGGGGCGCTCTCGCGAGACGGGGCGCTCTGGCGGTACTTTACGGTACTGATCAAGAGTGATGATCACAAAACAAGTGTTTTTCCAATATAGTTCACTTCTTCCGAAACTGATCCAGTGTTGCCTGGATGCATCAGGCAGCAGACGTGATTGAGAAAAAATTCTTCTCTGTATGCTGTAAGCAGCCACACGTACACGTGGCTACTTTTCATGCTTTTTCCAGCATGAACGCATCATTTCATGCACAGTCACGTGCCATGTGTCAGTCATACATGCAAATCGGCTATAGTGATGCACCAGATATAGTGATAAATTATCGAAAATCAAAGGGGCACGTTATGTCCACTATTTACTGTACTATAATGGGTTGTACCTACCAAGTATGGGGTAACTTGCCCCGCAAAAAATGTGACGGCCATCTTGGATGCATACCTCCCATTGCCTGAAAAAACACTAAAATCGACAAATGAGCAGGGGGGGGGGGGGGGCACTCAATCAGAGTAGGGAGGTTGACCTCTCCCCCCCTCCCACCTACCCTCCTTTGGGTGGAATCCTGGAGAGGTACACACACACACATTCACACACATTCCTTTCATCGTTATTCTTTCTCCCCTCCATTACAGGTGTGGCAGGCCGGCAAGCAGTCAGCTCGGCGTGTTTTCGACGTCTATGGTAACGTTGACTTCCTGAGACCCTACTTTGATGTTGAGCCCTGGCAAGTAAGAAGGCGTCTCTTCTGGTCACTCATCCCCCAGCGGCCAACTGGCGATCCACAAGTAAGGCTTCTACTCGTACTCTACTGTGTCGGTATAATTTTTTTGTAATCTTTTTTGTTTGTTTTATTAGCTATTAAAATGGGAATAGTGGCCACTAGTGCACTGTAGGCATAGTGTGAACTAGTGTTTAAACCGAACACGGATTCTTCGAACGAATAATCTATCGAATAATTTCGCCCTCCATCGAACGAATAATCTATATTCTATCGTACGCATGATGGCATTTTTCAACACTTTTTCAGCACTTTTTAAGTACTTTTTTATATATTTTTTGCTGATTATCGGGTTTTGTTATGTGGAGGTGCAAAACCGGTTAACATGTACCGCCAAGAGTACATAACCCCCCAGAGTGTGCAACGCCTGATCCAGCTCTGCATATCGCATCGGGTCTTGGTCGAGCGTAATTGGATCTTCATTGTATCCATGTTTCCCTCGTATGGAAAGAACAGAAGTATTACTAGATACCGATAGGTGATTAAAACTTAGAGGAGAAGAGATTGAGAAGAAATACTGCGAGCAGATCTACGCAGTGCAAATATCAGTAGGGTCAGCACTGGAAACTGGCACCCTAACTTTTTGGTGTCTCCCGTACATAGTTGTAGATATCATGAAAACAACAGTACATCCTGCATTGTGTGACCCGTGCAATTACTCCTTGCCACATTTGAGGCCAGAAAAGTCCAAGAACAGGGAAATAGAAATTCAGCCAGGTTTTACAAAATTAGGACAGGTATGCCATGGCAAAATGTATGGAGAAGCAGATCCAAAACCCAGATTTTTGAGATTTAAAATGGGTTTTCAATCCTCAATTCGGCCCAAATCCGACTTTCAAAAGCCAGCGGGCCAGTTTCCGATGAATGGACTGTAGATCTTTCTTTTTTTCTTTTTTTTTCGATTTCTGATAATTCCTACGACTATTCGATTATTCGTTCACCCCACGAATATTCTAAATTATTCGATTATTCGATTATTCGTTTCAACACTAGACTGTGAACCCTGTTTCCAGAAGCACGCATACACTAGGAACTTAGGAAGGCCGATTACTATTCTTCTACTCGAAGTATCTGCAAAGAGCTTGACGCCTAGTCACAGGTCATGCTGTACCGACAGAGTTTATCAACCGGTGAATAAGTTGTGTTCTATATTCACAACTGGTAGTCGCCCTCTCTCGCCGACCCTGATTACTAATCAGCCACCCTCCTGTCATACATGTTGATGTCTTGTCCTCTGTGTGTGTGTGTGTGTGTGTGTGTGTGTGTGTGTGTGTGTGTGTGTTTGTGTGTGTGTGTGTGTGCTTGCTCGTGCTTGTTTGGTGTGTGTGTACTGTGTAGCCACTGGACACGGAGCTGTACGGCCCTGTGATGCTCGTCTTCACATTGGTTGCTATCCTGGTGTATGGCATGAAGTCAGCCGATCACGTTGTGCAAGAGGGTACGCTGATGGGAACGGCCATTGGTATCTCCTTCCTCTACTTTGTGGGCACGGCGTCTCTGTTCTTCTTCCTCGCCTACTTGCTCAACGCGCAAATCACTCTCATACAGATGCTGTCGCTTACGGTACGTTTCTCAATTTTTTATATATTTTCTCAATTTTGTTGCAGTTTGTGTGTGCATGTGTGTGTGTGTGCGTGTGTGCATGCGTGTGTGCACATGCACGTGTGTAGCTGTCGATGTATTCATGTGTATGTGAGTATGTACATCGCTAGAACATACGCATAACTAGCTTGGTCACATCCGGTCTCCGGCCGAAGAGGAATGCTCAGCAGAGCTGATGCCAAACAACATGGCTATCTCTAGCCAGGCGCACCACGCTCATATCCTTCTGTCTCAGCAGGTTGTCTTTCTCACGTTATCCGATCTTCTTGGGTCAGGTACAAGGAGTAGTGGAGGTTCGGGATTCGAGTACATGTACAGCCATTCTAACAGCAGGAGCAGGGCTCTTGCTTTCCATGATGCTGCACTCTATTGGGCTCTTGCTTTCCATGATGCTGCACTCTATTGGGCTCTTGCTTTCCATGATGCTGCACTCTATTGGGCCTTCGACTCCACTGGAATAGTCCTCATCTTTCGGTAAAGGTGAAAATAGCACAATAGTCAAATTTCACCGTAGAGGCAGGAGGTACCTCCTATTGCGATGAGCTCGACGTAACTGTTAGTTAGGACGATGCTCATCTCCTCTCCCTCCTGGTAGTCGTCAAGTAGGAAAATTGAAATGCCTTTGAGTATCGAGGAGTTCACTTGTCTTCACTTCTAGTATATTCTAGATTTCTGACCAATTCCTTTTTCTCCTCCTCTGGCTCCTGTCATCCATTGCTGTATGTTGTACAGGGCTATGGACTATTTGGTCCATGTGTAACACTGTTCTTGGCAATCGTCATTCCTAGCCAAACGGAAAAAATGTTCTATTCCTTTTGGCTAGTCCTTTGTGGCTTGTCAGCTCTGAAAATGGTGAGTACATGTGTTGTTGTTGTTGTTGTTGTTGTTGTTGTTGTTGTTGTTGTTGTTGTTGTTGTTGTTGTTGTTGTTGTTGTTGTTGTTGTTGTTGTTGTTGTTGTTGTTGTTGTTGTTGTTGTTGTTGTTTCAAATCTTTATTCTCACGATAGCCAGTGGCCAATAAGAGATGTTGTTGTTGTTGTTGTTGTTGTTGTTGTTGTTGTTGTTGTTGTTGTTGTTGTTGTTGTTGTTGTTGTTGTTGTTGTTGTTGTTGTCGCTGTCATCAGTCAGTGTCATTGTCTTTGTCCTCTGATGTGTGGTTGGAAGAGTGCTGTTTTGGAGGGTACTGTATTTTTAGTTTTTTTGTTGTCACGTTTAATTTAGTTAGGTTCGGGGATGAGTTGTAAGTACCGTAAAATCCCGTCAGAGCGCCCCTACCTCCGCAACCATTCGAGTAGATCCATTTGGGGAGGGGCGGATAGGCGAGTCCTACTTGCCGCACACAGTACTACATGAAAAAGTACTCACCCTACGAAATCTGTGCGTGCATCTCGTACACCGACCAAAGGTCAAGAGCTACAGGAGACGTACAGACCCATCAAAAACCAGGTTTTGTGCGATCCCTGGTCAAGAGGGCGGGAACTGTTGCGTACATTTCCAACCAGGTCGGGGACGCGTCTGCAGTACAGTACGGCCTCACACACTTCACAGAGTCATACGAGGATACAATCATTATCACTTCGCTGAAAAGAAGTCAGGGAGGGGCGCATGGGAGAGGCGGGGCGCTCTGGCGGGATTTTACGGTACATGACCACTGGTTAATGGTGCTGGTGGCACTGGACACGGCTGATTCCTGCTCTCTATCCACACTGTGCCACCGTGATCACCTGTCTGCATAGGATATGTTTGTACTGTATTTGAATCTTCTCTCTCTCTCTCTCTCTCTCTCTCTCTCTCTCTCTCTCTTCAGGCCTGTGCCATCGTGTCACGTACCTACACACGCAAGCAAGCACTGGCGTTGAGTGCAGTGGTGATAGTCATTCACATGCTCTTCGTTCTCTACCTGCACTTCTCCTACGCACATCTCTACCAAGGTGAGTTTGCCTGCCCCAGCTTTTAGCATGATCCACACATTGTATTAGACCTCGAGCTTGTGGCAACCATAGTTCTGGTGACATTGTGAATCGGATCTTGTGCGTGTGTGTGTTTGTTGCCGCTGCTGCAGCTATATCACAACCTCTGGCTGCTGGACCCGTGGTGCCAAGACCGATGGCGCCGCACGCCGCTGAGCACACACGTGCAGCAGTGACTCAGGCCACGGCAGCGCTTGCCAAGGACGTGCTCCACTCCAAGATGTCGAACAAATTGCAGGCCAAGATGATGGCCAAACTTGCCGTGCAACAGCAGCTGGTGACTCGTGCCATGGCAGCAGCTCACACTTGATGTCATCTGCGTGAACCAGAACCAGTGTTTAAAGTAACCTACTTTACCCCGATATGTTCTTCCACCGTTGACATTCGGCCTTTTGCCCTGTATCATTGATAACGGAGCACTGCTGTCGGGAATCAGGAAGTTGGACTCTGAGTTAGTAGTACCGACTTGTCTCTCCTCCCCGTGCTCTCTTTGTCCTGCCGACACCCACCCACCACAACAAAGAGTCGGTATGGTCGTTGACAGCGTCGTACGGTAACAGCCTGTGCAGGTTTCTCGCTCTCATTGAGATAGCTGCGCCGTGCCCATACTACACACAGTACCGTTTGAGTTCGAACTTGAAGTTTTTTAGTATTTGTATGTGCACATGCACCCTAGTATCATCCAAGCTACTACATTTAGGATCAGGGAGTAGTATGTTTACTACTCCCTGTTGAGAATAGCTGTTATGCAAGTGCATGGTACTATTTACTTGAAGTAGCAGTCCTACTCCTACTCCTACTCGCCCACAGTGGTATTCTTTTTTTAAGAGACGTTTTTAACCAAAGCTTGTCAACTCCATCATTATCTTTATCATGTTCTCATGCTGTACAATGAGTCACCACGCTGCCTTTTTGAGTTGGTCATTCTCATGGTTGTACTGGTTCATACTTATTCGAATGTCATTCTTGTACCACGAGCATGTTGGTTGTGTTGTTCATGCGAGTAACAAGTACTGTGGATCTTCACTGAATGCATGCAGCTCCTGGCGCATTGCAGTTGGCACGAATGAATGACCTGCATGCTACTGCGTGCTACATGTACTTTGAAGTACAAAGCAAGTGCCGGTAGTTACCGCTGTAGCTACATGTATAGCCAAGCCATACAACACGAGCAGGACTTGATGAGAATTGATGTGCTGACATGTAGTGATATTGATGTTTTGACAATCCACATATTCTTCAGACTGAGATCTGTATGCAACACGATGATCTTTTACGGTGTACGATGGTAACGAGTACAACTGGCCGATCAGAGGCGATCACGTGACTCGTCGTGGTTGTGTCGTCGGTATTTTACGACTCCCTGGCTGGTGTCGTCATGATAACTATTGTAAGCTACATGTACAATCGTAAGCTTGGCATCATCAAGAGTGCATGATCCCGGGGTGAGTCGATCTCGAGGTTATTAATTTTACTCTGGGCAAGAATATACCATGTACCACGACTCAGTCAAAGCAGGAAAGAATATACAGTCATGTACAATGAAAAGTCAGTAAGGCCCTACTAAGGGTTATGTACTCTTGCTCTGGGCCATGGATGATGACTGTCATCAAGAGTACATAACCCCCATGTTACTGACTTTTCATTGTACATGACTGTATATTCTTTCCTGCTTTGACTGAGTCGTGGTAGGTCTACATGGTGTCATGCAGCAGGGAGTAGCATCAGATCAACACTTCCTGCTCTTGCAAGTACAGGTAAAGTCTTTTGGCAGTTTTGGTCTTCTCTCCTGGCCTAGCCTACAGTCTGTTTCAAAAAGATTAGCAATCAAGTTTGGGTCTTAAAAAGTATGAAGATAAGGGAAATTTGGACAACAAAGTACATAAAATGGCTTGTTAGGGCACGGCAAATTGTTCTGTGAAGGTTTCGTCTTCCATCAGCTTTCACAGGCGTCTGCTTTACTCAAAATGTCGTCGAAGTCACACGGATAGCTTTGCCACATCAAGGCCTTGGGAATGAGTCTGTGTCGATGCCGTTTTCGTCACATCGTGAGAGTAAATTCAACTAAATTGCATCCGCGGCAGCTCAAAGAATCTATTTGGTCACAAAACGAATTGGGACGCATCCCGCTCGTCAGAATTTACCACACTTTCGACATGTCCTCGACCAGCTCCTCTCTGACTCCATATCGATACAAGGAACAGAAGAACTCGTTTGTTGTAAACCAGACGAACATGTACGAGACGTCAGTGAGTTGCCTGTCATTTTTCATGCTTTCGCGCGGAATATTTCTTCGAGTTCACAGTGAGTTTTTCCAGGCAGCGCTCGAGCGCGCTCATACGGTAAGACAGCAAACTCCCCGGGCGATCGCCAGGATTGCTAATCTTTTTGTAAAGACAAAGCGGATTTCGAGTTCGAATCCGGAAAGCTTGTGCCACAGCCATTTTTGCTCTCTCGGCTGTCTTCACAGCCTTTTTTGCTCTCTCGACTCGACTGTTTTCACAGCCATTTTTGCTCTCTCGTCTGTCTTCACCAGGGAGTTGTACTACTCCCTGGTCTTCACAGCCACTTTTGGGTTTTGCTCTCTCGACTGTTTTCACAGCAAAAAAAAAAGAAAAAAAAAGAAAGCTTGTGCCACGGCCTCGAAGGCCGCGCGAATGGATCACGTGGCAGGTTTTTTCGACGAGTCTGACGAGTAGTGCTGACCCGAATTTGCCAGCTGAATCTCGATATTTTGCGGCATAATTTTGCTCGTGCATCGTCGAAATTTTGCTTTCATTTTGCTAGGCCACTCGATATTTTGCTCCCTTTTTGCTCCAAAATTTGTGTCACGTGTGAGAAAACTGACCGAAAGTGGGTTACGTGTTGGCAAAAATGAGAAAAAGTGAGTCACGTGTTGTTAAAATTGTGCCGAAATGAGTCATGTGCACCGTATATGTGTAAAATCTCCCAATTCCCAGCCAACACACCGATATTTTGCTCCATTTTGCCAGCAAATTCCCTTTCAAAATTCTTCGATATTTTGCTAGAAGAATTGCTAGCAAATTCGGGTCAGCACTACTGACGAGTGACCCCGGCCGGCCCATACGCTGTGACGACACGATTGAAACATGAACGATCGTACAGATAAGATCAGAACTCACTGAAGTCACATCAGTACTACAGTGGTCCCTCTATAATCCGGCACCATTTGTGCCACGAAAATCTGCTGGATTAGGGAGGGTGCTGGATTAACAAATCTGATCTACTGCTGCAATGTGCATGAAGAGGACATTTGGCTACTGAAAATTGTGCCGGTTTATCGAGGGTGCTGGATTATAAAGTGCCGGATTAGAGAGGGACGACTGTACTAGTGTACTGAGTGAGTAGTAGTAGAAAACGTTCGAATCCAAGGATTTTAAAGGGGAAGTGCATCGATTTTTCGAGTAGGGTCCAGAAGAAAGACAATTATTTGATATCGGTTCGAATGGCATATCTCTCGCTTCCATACGATAAGCCAAACTTGCCAAATCGCCAATTGTATACTCACGTTGCCATAGCGACCAGAGCAGTGATGACGTATGAAAGGCTTAGCTCCTCCACAGAGAAGGTCGATCACTGCATAAATTGGTCATTTTTCAATTGTCTTATAGTATTCACGATGTGAAAGAAGTGCTGTGTTCAATGCTGTTAGTGCCGTGAACTATTTATCGCCCTTCTCATGCATTTCCCTAGGCTGACTGTGCCTAGGAAATGGTTTCCTCCAGGACAAGATGCTTGGAATTCGCCATCTCTCCTGAGACATTTTCAGCAAACTTTCAAACCTACGACATTATTTCATTCGTCAATCTCCACCACCCGGCGTCTCACCTGGCTTCAGAAGATGTTACGAGAGATAGGAGAGTCGCCAGGAAGCATCTCATTCATCTTCAGGAAGTGGAAAGAGCAAACGGCATGGTCCTTGGTTGGGGGAAATGCTGAACGTCTGATTTGTCCCAACCAAGATTTCAGCATTTTGTTCGTCACTATTTTCGCTTGTCTGCTGGTGTCTCCGCACTCCAGCTTTCTCCTGTCGGTGCCACGTCCCAGTACACAACCGAGAGGACTACTAACAAACAGTTCACTGCACTAACAGCATTGAACACAGCCCTTCTTTCACTTCGTGAATACAATAAACCAATATTGAAAATGACCAAATTCTGCAGTGATCGACCTTCTCTGTGGTGGATCATGGAGCTAAGCCTTTCGTACGTCATCACTGCGCTGGTCGCTATGGCAACGTGAGTATACAATTGGCGATTTGGCAAGTTTGGCTTATCGTATGAAAGCGAGAGATATGCCATTCGAACCGATATCGAATTGTCTTTCTTCTGGGCCATACTCGAAAAATCGATGCACTTCCCCTTTAAGCTGTTGACTGTGTTGTGGAGCTACAATCATTATTTTCGTTTTCATGGTTTTGTAGACCACCTTCTACTACTAAGTTCTAGCTCACACTGAGTCACAGGACTTCTTCAAGTTCTTGTACTTGTGGCCATGTAATGTATACAGCTTTCACCTACGAACATTATTAGCGAGGTTTTGCATTCCGAAATTCGGCAAAAAGATTCGGCACGCGGGCGGGAGCGAGGTCGAAAATGCACACGGCCGGATCGGCGTGTTTGTTCGGAAAAAGCTCACTTTGTCTTTGCCGAAAATATTTTTCGGATGCATTTTCTTGTAGAAGAGCGCTATATATACATATGTATAGCGCTAGCGCGTGATTTATTCAAAGGGGTTTCTTATCAAGGGTTGGGTTTCTTATCTCGGCATCGCTTGGCAGGCGTCTTTGGCGACATAGCATCGTCAGCTACCTTTGATTGCTCCTCTCCACTGCCTGTCTACTCTCTTTCGCCTGGAGTGTCCTCACCGTCATCTGTGTGGCTGAAAAGACTATGGCGACACGCATAAAATTTGACTTGGGCATGGAGTTGGTTTTTCTGAGGCGACTGAGGAGGCAGGTTTGGCCCTCGACTCTTTGGGCGATCAAAGTTCGTTGGAATCAGCAAGAAATGGAGCACGGGACAGGACGTTGCTGATGCTGGGGCTCACGAAATGAAAACACATCATTTTCGACTTGCAAAACAAACGTTGGTGCGAAAATTCGACATTTTGATGTTCGACAAATGACCGAAGAACGCTGTACCGAAATTCGGAATACAAAACCTCTCTATTATTTCTGGCAGTATAGTGGGACCAGGCTAGATAGGAGCACTGCCCCCCAGACCTGAAAATGAGCACTGAAATAGATCTTGGAGACCCTGCAGCTGATGGGTTCGGTACAGCTAACACAGGAGCCACAGATAGCAGGTACGGTGAGAGTATTCAGTAAGCAAATGCTGCACGCCACTACACGCCCTGTAGCAAGTCCTGCAGTGCGCTAGTGCCAGAGAGAACGTGATTTCAGTTGATGAACTACATAAACGAGAGAGCTTGGAAGCTCAGGGCCCTACGCTATGCTTTTTTGCCTAGCTCATCGTACATGTTATAAGAACTCATGGAAATGTTTTTTTTTCCGTTGATTGGCCACATCATTGTATTGCAAAAACGTTTCAATCAGTTTGAATATTATGAGTTAGGCAAAAGTATTTGCAGAATTTATTGCAGATTGTCATTTCTTTAATATCATCTACTTTTGGTTTACTCCTTCTTCTCTTTTTATCTCCTTAGGCCAAACTAAAGAAGGTGTGTGGTTCGACTAACATGGACATTTTTTTTACGGGCGGGCGGGCGGATTTTTTTTTTTAATATATTTTTTAGTACATGTAAATACACTGTATACGCGTATCGAGTAGACTCTACTACCAGCACAAGGCAGCAGTCGTACCACTCACTGCACTGCACTGCAGTACAACTACATGTACAAGTCAAGTCCAAAAGGAGCCGCCTGCGTCCGCAGACTCACGCAGCACAGCACGTAGACGTGGACGTGTTCAGTCCACGTACGTCAGTCACACGAC